GAATCGGTAGGTAATGATGACGTTTCTATTGTTTGCGCCCGCAAGTACGCAATGGTTAGGATGACGTAAAGATAGAACATCTCCAAGGGACCGCTTAGGTAGATTTTGTGAGATTTACTGTGCAGTCATATTTCGACACTCTTACGTGCTATCAGTGGCATTCTGTGGAGCAGTTGTTTCAGTGAAAGTTATGGACCAAAATTTTAACGACACTCGTTAAGCGCAGAAGAAGTTATAAGGTGCGTATAACTGTGTATATATAAACACTTGGAGAGTTTGCCAGGCACGAGTTCACAAATCTTTCATTGGAAACCTTGCCAGATCAGACACTCTTTCTCTCTCTTTGACCGGAATAAGACTCAGCCCCCAACAAGCAAGACGAGTGAACAACGGCTAGCCTCTCAAAGCAGAAAGATGGACGATTACAGAAATTCGCCGACAATCAAATGCTGTGCAGCTTATTCCCTGCTCACAGATGTCCTTCCGCTAAAGCCTATAAAGTTTAAAATAAGACTAGAATGCGCGAGTGTGAATTGATCAAACGTCCTTTTAATTTCTAAGGCTTCCTTTCCGGCAAATAAAATGAACTGAATGTAAAAAGTGAAAGAGAAATAGCGCAAAATTCAACTTCTTATTAAATCTTTTCTTATGGTTTAGAATCGAATAAACTATTCTCGAAACTGAGAATGTTTTGATCAAAGCTGTGTAAATCGACCTGAAACTGTGCATGGAACCTTGCGTTTCCTGTATTTATCTCACCTATTGTATGGAATATGTGTGAAAATCTTCCGGTATATTTCAAAGAGCTACACAACGAGCAAGAATGATATTGACCGACAATATACAGAGTCAAAAGGTTGAGTTTGATCGTCCGGGTGAACGTAGTCCTGAATATGACTGTTGTTGTTGACAGTGACTGACGTTTCGACAACCTGTGCGGTAGTCATCTTCAGAGTCAAAGTGAGTTGTATCACGTCAGTTGATGGTATTATACTCGGGTTATTGATCTGATTGGTCAATTACGTCGCGATGTTATTGATCGTCTGTCAGTTAAGTCGTGATGTTATTGGTTATGAAGACTCGTAATCAGTGATTGGTGTGTTTCGATCCGTCTATTGTCACAGTGAAACAGTCGTCTATTGTTAGTCAAATTGTCAGTTCTCCAGTTGTTCTCTCGTAGTTACCGTATTTATTCGCAGAAGCGCCCCACCTCGAATTAGCGCCCACCTCGAATAAGCGCCCATGCTAAAGGAAGAAAAAGTTAATAAGCGCCCAGCCTCGAATAAACGCCCACCCCACCCCACTCCCTCCCACAATAACTCCAATAAGAGATAATAAGAGACCTTCCCGGAGACGGGGTTTTCTTCAGAGTATTTTACAGAAACCTTGCTTTGTTACATCTTCACTTTTTGTTGGTACCATTTACTGTTTGGTTGTAAAATATACTACTACACTTGCTGAGAATGGTGAAAATTTAATAAGCGCCCAGCCTCGAATAAGCGCCCACTCTCAAGGTCCAAAAATTTAATAAGCGCCCAGGGCCGTTAATCGAATAAATACGGTAGTTTTGCTTGATATCGATAGGGACTTTAAGACGGCTGGGACGCGACGACTTCTAGAACGCGGTGGCTGATAAATTACTGGACCTGTAGAACGCCGTCGTTTGCGCGCGAAAAGTAAAGTTAAGATCTCCGTCGCGATGCAAAGACGACGCGGCTGCAAACCGCTCTTTATCAGTATGATTCTTCGGCAATTCTTTCGCAGAAATAGTCATGGCATCATTTAAGAAAGTCCAAGAAATGCTTTGTTTGTGCTTTGTTCGATAGCGTCACCTCCACTTCTTCGTTGACGCTTCGGTTTGTCATCGCTTTCATCCGCTGATGAACCTCTTTTCTTCGTCTCTGACAGCTTCTTCATCGCTTTTAGTCTAACATCTTCCGCTTTAGCCCAATCGCATTGACGTTTTTTGCTAGCTGTTCCCTGTGTTTCCAGTAATTCCGCTTCGCCACTTTCCCCCAATGCGATGATCGTATCCAATAGGTTTTCTAGTTCCGTTGGCTCATCGGGAGTTATCCCAGTTGCTTTTTCCTCCGCTAGAAGTTTCTTCTTATGCTTGTAAACAAGGATTCCCACGCGGTCTCGGACTGATCGCTTATCAACCCTGAATTTCGGCACAGTGAATTCGTTCAAGGTGTCTTTTTTTTCCCCACATTCTGCTTCTTTGTGTTGACCCTTCTTAGTTGTGTAGGGATTTACATTGACGACTTCTCTGCATAGAATGGCTTCATGATCATAAGTCCAAAACATTACTGAACTAAAGGGAAGCACAAAAACACACGCAGTTTAATAAAATTAAATTAAATAATACAGGCTTAAAATTGGCTTTTAGCGGCAGATGAACGCAATAAATGGAGAATTGCAACGGTACAAGAGACGAGAAGAGTATGCACAAGACTCCTGCATTCACTATTTGCAGTTTTAGCTCGTGACTTACTTGCAAGCCTCGCTCGAAGTCGAAGGCGGAGGCGCTGCCATTTTATAAGCTTCGTACACCTGAAAGAAATTTGAAAATAATCAAAATCCTTCCATCTCTGCGATCTAAAATGTCGCCAGAAATTACGTCCAATGATCCTAGAAGGCTGATTTTACATGTATAGAGGAATATATCATCATTTAATTTAAGCACAAGAACAAATATACTCACGTTTTGTACAGAACGTCAAACACGCAAAACCCACGTTCTCGACGCGACGTGGTGACACCAGGACAACGGCTTGAGCATGCGTAATATGTCTCCTCTTTGAAAATTTACTTCCTGTCGCGTCTTACAGCCGTCGCGTCTCGGATCTTAAAGTCCCTAAGTCGTTTGTACGGCGCTGGTAACTGTTGGCTACGATTCCGTGGCGTTTGTTCTAAGTTAGTAAACCAGCTTTCTAAAGTAAGACGTTGATAGAAGTCTGTAGAGTACGTTATACATGTCGCAGAGTCTTAGTCAATTTGATGTTTCGTCTTTAAATGGTGCTCAGCAATGTGATTGTTGTCGTCACCATTCCTCGTCGCGCGTTTGTGTTCGGTCAGTTGCGTGCTTAGGTTTCTGCCGGTTTCACCAATGTAAGAAGCCTGGCAGTCGCAGCATTTGATCTTGTATACTGCTCCCTGTCTGTCCTCCGGTTTGTCTTTGTCGTTGACATTAGTAAGCAGTCGCCGTAAAGTGGTTATCGGTTTGTGTGCAACACGTATATTGTATCACTCGGATTTCTTCGGCGAAACCTGAGCAGTTGTCCCGAGGGAGTTAAAGAGGCAGCCTACAAAACCATTGTGAGGCCTCACGTGGAATGCGCAAGCTCAGTTTGGGACCCACACTTAAAAAAACACGTCAAACAAATAGAGGGAGTACAAAGAAGAGCCCCACGCTTCGTTGAAAACTGTTGCACGCGGGAACCAGGAACAGTTACAAACCTCTTGAACGAATTAAACTGGATACCCCTGAAGGAACGAAGAACAATCTCGCGGTTAACCTTGTTCCACAAAGCAATTCATGGTGATGGCGGCCTGGCCTTCCCAGACTATGTTACGACGCGCAGAAGACATTTAAAGAACTGTAGCCAAAACAAGTTTATTGAACTGCTGCCAAATACTGAGACTTATAAGAATGGTTATTTTTGTAGAACTGTCAAGGACTGGAATGCGTTACCAAGCGAAATTGTTAACATCAAGTCCGCAGATCGTTTCAAAACAGTCTTATTTGAGTATTTTAGTCAATGATGAATTTTAATATTGCATAATGATTGATGCGGTGAAATTAATGATTTTTATTATTATTATTACTTTTTTATCCATTTTATCTTTTATAGAAGTTTTTTTTTTAACGTCATTACTTTTAATTTTATTCATTTTATTTAGGCGTCTTGCGTGATGGTAACCCCGTTGCAGGACTATAAATTTTTGAATAAAGGTTGAATAAAGGTAAGGTTGTAATATACGTGCAGTAGTTTCAGAGGTGCCTCTGATGTACGGTATACTCGCTGTCGTAACAGGGGCAGAGTTGGTGTGAGAGTTGGAATCATTGTTACTGTGACTGTTCCGTCTAACAAAGTCCGCGTTGTAATTGTTCTTACTAAAAACGTTGTTAAGATAATCAGTCTAGCTCGTCTTGTAGGCTGTCAGGTGAGTCGCAAACTAGTTGCGCTCGTAGGCTACTGCTATCCGGACTCTGACGAGACAAGCGCAACTAGTTTGCCACATCTTACTCCAGGGTAGCTTTTCCTGCTGAGATGTTTTTCATTGTTGTAGTGAGAATTTCTTTCGTCGTCAGCTCAAGGCTACCGCCGGTACAGCGCTAGGGCACGCCAGGTTATGCAAGCCGCCACGCCACGTTCAGGCTAGCCTGCATAGCTGGCGGTTATTTTGTGGGTGTTTTCATTATTTTGTGGTTCGTAAAGTGAGATTCAGCCGCGCGAAAGCTGAACCGACGAGGAAACAGATTCCTTATCGGTTACAGAAAGCACCTTTTTTCCCTATGTAAATCCTTATACTTATTTCGAACTTGCTAACGGTCATTTTTTCGAGTTTGGGCGACCTGTGGGTACCAAGATGGTGACGCTGTGCATCAAGTTTGTGGGTGAGTGGAGATGGCCTTCGAGCAGCTTGCACGAGGCCAGCGAGTAAAAACCACGAGTTTTATTCAAGTCCACGACTTTTCTTTGTTGGAAATGTACTCTCTACATGTCATTGCAATCTTCTACTGCATTTGTGAGTTTCAACAATGCCTCCTTAAGGATTTGCGATTTAAGTTCGTTTTCATCTGGATACGTTATGGCGTGGCGTTATTCGCCGCAACAGTTGGGAAGTGCACTGAGTATTCTCAAATCACAGAGAATTACTGCTTTGAAATTACAAAATACCACAGTCAAGAGAAGAAACAACAATAACAACAAAAAGCCAACTCTGTTTTCTGATCAGGATATTATTTTATTGCAAGCAGAAGTAGACAAAGACATTTAAAACTTCTCAAATTGTTTCTTGTCCTTGCTGCCTTTTCCCTTGCTGACCTTCAGTACATTAAATCTCACTGTCTTACTGAGAGGACGGCACTGACCAACAGTCACTACATCACCAAGACCAACATCCCTAAACACAAGTAAAAAAGAACAAAACATATTGTAAGGAGCTTAGCAGATGTTTAAAATCATAAAAAAATTTTTTTTCAAAGTTTAACAATAAGCTTAGCATGAGCAAGATAATAGGTTTCATAGTAATAACTAAGTGAATAATAATTAAACTTTCTCACAATGTACTATGTAGTCGTTCAGGGGTACATATATATGAGCATTTTACTATTTCCGTACCCTGCTGGTAAGCTTTCCATCTATGGCGAGCAAAGCAACCCGCAAGAGAACTAGCAAGCAAGCATGGAGAGCTTGCTAGCAAGCTAACATTTCAAATGCTTACTCCAAGTCTTCATCAAGTCATACAGACAGGCAGTAAACAGTCACAACCAATAGTCACACCAATCACAACCGCACTAAAATTACATCCATGTACATTGCACAACACAGCATTAAGTGTGCTCACTTAATCATCTGGTCCTGGCTGTTCAAACGTTGGATAGTACTATTCACCAGAAAAATCAACATCCAGCAGATAAGTATTAATTTTGGGAAACCAATGACGTTGCCAGCCAGAAAGAATAGCGTTTTCCACCTTTTGAATGATTGAGGATTTGTAAAGACTAGTAGCAAGTAGGTGGAAAGATGCAATAAAATTTACATCTGAAGGGACATATTGAACCAAACAATACTCAAGAAGCAAAGTTTACTTAATTTGAAAAATCAAATTCTGCAGGGGTTGTGCATGGACTGCTTAGCACAGTCAAATCTTAAGTTGCCTTTGATGTAAATAACTAGATTAGGTGGATGCAGTTGCCGGCAACAATGTCATGAAAAACAAAAATAACCGTTCAAACTTGGGAGGCTTTAATAATTTTCCATCAGGAACAAATGCCACTTCTACGAAACATTATTTATGCAGAATGCAACCATTACAACACTTCTGACAAAAGCAAAGGGGCATGTTTGTGTGATGGGGTGGCATAGCTGTCCCCAGTCATGTTACTGATCCTGACTGAGTTCAAGTTCCTGCCAAGGGGGGTGTGTTAGTGTTTGTGTGCACTTTTTGTTTTGGTTTTTCATCTTTCCACCAAGCTTAGCCAGGACACACACATTTTATTTGTCAACTGCAACAAACTACTGAGGGTTGAGTCTTATACATGTAGAATCAACTGCCCACCAGCACCTTTTAAATGGAACAACAGAGACCTTGATACCTCTGCTCAATAGTGCCATATAAAAATATAGGAACTCACTAGCATCTTCTATGCTAACAATAATTTGAACCCAAAATGAAATCAGTTGTTATGTATGTATGTATGTAACAAATCATGTCCATAGGAAAGCTCTTCAAAACTGTTTCATTTGAGTGGTCATATAGTACAGGACTTTGTTCAGGCTTATTATTTTCATTTGACTTGTTCATCACAACAGGTACAATGTAACTTTCAGATTTTGGTTTCCTGAACATAAAATCTACTCATAAAACAAACAAACAAACAAGCAAACAAAAACAATGATAATGGTAAAAAATAATGTTATCATTATACTTACAGCATTTACCACTAACACACGCCCTCAAAGGGTTTTTTTTTTCGGTTCAAACCTGCAGTTTGGTGGATGTCAATCAACCGTTACCATGGGTTTTATGTGTTGACCTGGAGAAGATTCTTTCCCAGTTTCTCAAGCACTTGGAGGAGGAAAATGTCGGCATTTAAGCTATTTTAGCACTATTTTGCAGCAGGATCCGACACCGCTTCATGTCAAGATTATAAGGAGTACGAAGTTGTTGATTATCTGTTGGAGGAAACTCAAATTGACTTATTTACTCACTGAAAGTTACAACCACATAAGCTTTTTCAATACACGTTCGCAACTTGTCTGAGTTCTTGCTAGTTCTAAATTCTATTCCATAACATGAAGAATGATAAGTAGATCTGCAGGTTACAAAATTCATTTTCGAAAACAGCCTCCATTCAGAGGTAACTTTTTTCCCTTGTCAGTGTGATATCTTTTGCTTCTTTGAATTTATGCTCCTTGGCAATTCGTCCATGGCTCCTGTGTTTTCATACAATCAAATAAGCTTAAATGAACAACCTGAAAACTGTTCGAGAGTATTTCGGCTATTTCACGCAGCTCGCAGAGACCTCATTGTTTTAACAACGTAATCCTTCATCTTAATGAAATAAACAAAATTATAAACGCTGTCGTCATGTGAAATTATTGCAAGTCTTTGCCTCTCATTCAGTGATGAGGGAAACTTCTCTGTCAAAATGCATGAGAAAACCATGGAAACAGTTGATTGACGTCCATGAAAACTCAGTTTCAACAGGGAGAAAAAACCCTCCGAGGACCCGTGTTAGTGGTAACGGCTGTAAATAAAAATAAATTAGAATGCAAGTTCTAAACACCACAGATGCTGCTACTGTATAAAGAGCTGGCTAATTTCACCAGCTGAAAAGAACTTATGACCAAAAGCTCAAATTGCTCTGACAACAAAGACATAAGGTAACTTTGAAGGTGCAATTGAGTAAAAAAGCTGGTTTGACTAATAAAAAAGCCTGCTTAGCTTTTCCTTAGCTAAATCCCTAAACAACAGCAGAAAGTAATACACTGTACTTTACATGTATTTACGTGCCAATAATCTCATGGACTGTAAGTTCAATCAAGAGTACTTTAATGATAACAATTCTGTTAGCACACAAACAGGAAGTCTACCTGAAACAAGGTGAAAGATGGGCAGAAAGATTCTTATGCCGCTTCTCATATCTGTTGTACTTCTTGACAAGGTGCAAGTAGTCCCGCCGGATGACAATTGTACGTTTCATTTTCATGCTTGTAACAATGCCAGTCAAAATACGTCCACGAATGCTGACGTTTCCTGTAAAGGGGCATTTCTTGTCGATATATGTTCCCTCAATGGCCTGTTGAAGGAATTCACATAGACAGTATTTAACAGTCAGCGCTGCTTCCAGCCAGGCTGAACAAGATTCCTATAAATTACAATCGAACCTCCAAATGCAACCACCTCTTATAGGTAATCACTCATCCAAAAACACCAAAGTTTTCTCTTCCAGTTGAACATCAAATGACCACTTCCTGTAACGTAAGTGACCGAAAACCCATTTTGGGGCACATGATTTTATATTTTTGTATCGTTTTTAATCTCTTGCAAACAACCTCTCAAAGCATGGTCTGATCTCTATTCACTGTATGTGCTACATGTACGCTTCAAAGAATATACATGTCTAACGAGCTTCAAGTTACAATAATATTATAACTTAAGGTTCTTTAAAGGAGCTGTGTCACGAAATTCAGCCAAATAAGGTAATTACAAAATGCCGGTAATCAAAAAATGTTAAATTAACAGAAACGTAAAAATAACCGCTTAAAACATTAAAGGAAAGTTAAAATAACACAACAGATACAACAGATGCAACGGATGGGCAAAACTGAAGAAGATTGAAACAGATTGAAACAAGAATCACCGAAAGGCGATTTTTAAGTGGGCTGCAAAGGGGCTATTTTTTCTGAAGGGAGGGGGCGGCTATACACACTCAGGCTACCATAAAACCTTGTCCGCAACCATTGCCTGCCACAGAACCTCATGTGAGACTGACCCTTTTGAAAGACTTTCATAACCAAAAAAAAAGAGTACCATTTTTAAGTGGGGGCTGTATAATAACTTTTAAATTCCACCATTATGAATAAAAATAAACAAGTTAGCCATTAATTCTAGGCAGGAAACAATTTGCATTATTTCCACCTACCCCTCCCCCAATCCCTCTGTGCCCCAAAATATAGTGTGACAGTATAAGGCGACTAATTTGACATAACTAGAAATTCCAAAAATTGTTGTCGTTCTACGAGCATAAAATGCGACAGACTAAGCTGATTTACACTAGACAGAAATATTGTATTGTATGAAAACCAGAAGTATACTGAAACAGACAGTTAACTGCCCATTGATCCCGCCTGATCCAGGGGCCTCACTGACTGCACGGAGACTTTACTGCGCTTTTCACAAACTTGCGAACTCTAGAGTTCAAAAGCCACCTTCACAATTGTGTTTATCGCTGCCGTCAATCATAATTACGATCACAAGCAACGAACCTTGAAACAGAGAAACACAGGGCGCTTTCCATTTAGTCAAAATTTCCGGAATTTCCGGTTCGGCGGTAAATGGAACACGTTTCGCCGGTTCGTCCCACTGGAAAATTCCCAGAAAAAGTGGAAAATCTAAAAAGGTGGTCCCGTTTTCCCGGTTGGAATTTCCGAACGGAATGTCGTGTTCCATTTACGTTTCTCGTAGTTTGTACCAGTTCCAGGTCCACGGTCGGGAAACGCCACGTACCGGGGTTTACGACCAAATGGAACAACTTTTTACCAATCGGAAATTCCACTTTTGCTACCACCGAAATTTCCAGGTTTTTTTCCTAAAATGGAAAGCGCCCACACAAAAAGGATCGAAATCCACAAATCACACACCATGACCTTTTGAACCCGTGAAGTAAAGTTTTGTTTCCTAAGAGGTCCGTTAAGATGATTGACAGCAGCGAAAAACGCAATCGTCGGTTGGCTTCTGAACTTCAGAATTCGCATGTTTGTGTCTGTGAAAAGTGCGATCCTAATTTGCGGTCCACAGTCTACAAGAAAACGCACTGTTTTTTCCACAAGATGAAAAATATTCAGTTTTAAGATTTTCCTCATGGTATTTTTCTCTAACTTAAAGGAATAAAATCCTTTGCATTTTGAGACCTAAAAAAGTTTAACGATTTCTCGCTCGCATGTTGCGTTCACCAGCACACACTTCAAACAATGTAAATAGATGAAACGATCGATAACATATTTTTTACCTGATACCGATGCGAGTTAAAAATTCGCTCCAGTTCTGTTTGTCTCACCCAAGACGAACTTTTCTTCATGGAAGATAACTATGCCGCTTTATAACTCGTCCGAAGTTTTTGTGCCAGCTAAACAATATGGAAACACTATCAGGGGCACCCAACGTCAATTTTCGGCAAATATCTGTTCGGAAGACGATTTGAGATCTAGAATTTTCGGAACATTGGTCGTAAAATTTCTTGCTTGCCTGCCACTCCTAGGATTTTCGAACAGCTAAAAAATGGTATAATTGCCCATTTTTACGGATTTTTACCCTAAAAAGGTCACCTAGAATTTTCGGGAGCCATTTTTCTGGCTGAAACTTTCGAAAAGGTAAGTTTTGATCCCAATAATTTTCGGATCACTAGACTTTCAGCTAGGAAATCCGAAGAGATAAAAAATGTTTAGGGGATAAAATTATGCCTAAATCTACCGTTTAAATACTAAAATACCGTATTTATTCGACTATAAGCCGATCTTGGCTATAAGCCGAGACCCCAAACTTTGAACGTGTAGACTCGGCATAACGAGAACCAAAAATAAATCGAAAACACCCAGCTATAAGCCGAGACCCATTCATTATTACAAGACTGAATTGTTAACTACGGGAAAACCTAACATTTTCGGAAAAAAATCACATTGATTGTCATAAATGAGGCTTAGACGATAACACAAACACGCGTATACAAGAGATGCAATGGTGATTTACTATGCAAAAAGCTTCCCTCTTAGAAAACACACGCGAATTAATAAATATTACCCGTAACTAACTATTCAATTGAAAAGCAATGAATCATAACTCAGATGAATTAATGTGATCCAAAAATGAATTTAAAGCTAACTGTGTTGTTAAGCGGCATCACCAGTACCTAGACATCCGTAGCGTCTATCAAACAATCTCGTGTTCGCAATCGTTTATTTCAAGTCAAGTTGTCATCATGCCCAAGGCTGGTCGCACGTCATACAACCTCGCGCTTGAACTTAAAATAGTCGCCGAAGCAGAAGCTGTTGAAAATAACTCTGAAATCGCCAGAGAATATGGCATCAGTGAGTCCATGGTCCGTCGCTGGAGGAAAGACGATGGGATGCTTCACGCCGAAGTATCCGGAGCGCGATCAAAGAATACTGGAATGGTTTACAGAGGAGAGTAAGTTTCTTGTCGAGCATTGATTTTGTATTTTAAAACAACGGAAACAAGATCACGAAATAAATCAATCAGCTGATTGCAGAGTGAATATGAGTTGAATGTGTGACTCTCAAAACTATCGTAGTATCATGTGACAATATTGTGTATGAAAGATTCTCATTGGCCAGTTTTCACAAATGTCAAAACAAATTCAAGACGTGTCAAATTTTTAACCTTTCAATTGTTTGGTAACCTTCTCACTTCGTTTTACATAGGAATAGCTGTTAGCGGATTGATACTACGTCTAAAGGCAAAGGAATTCAGCGAGGATTCTGAGTTTAAAGCGTCCCTCGGCTGGTACCAGAAATGGAAACGCTGCCATTCCGTCAGCCTTCGCACCAAAACAACACTCGCTCAGCGTCTCCCAGAAGACTTGGAGCAGCAAACAGTCAAGTTCCATCGATTTGTAATCACATCCCATCAGCGTCAGGGTTACTCCCTATCAAGAATCTTTATCTTTTCCGTGAAAACACATTAAATTTATCAAACGCCTCCTTTAGGAGCCACCACATTCTTAAAAGTTAATAACCAACGATTGCATATTGTGTTTCTTTACTTTAGCTCGGCTTATACGTAAATACATCTCGATTTAGTAGAGTTTCCATGCGCCGGAAAAAATTTTTTTTCAAAAAACTTTTGGCTATAAGCCGAGACCCCCTCTAGAGCCCAAATTTTAATTCAATTCAGTTTTGATTTGTGTAAAAATCGCTCGGCTTATAGTCGAATAAATACGGTACGTTTAACAATGCTATGTTGAGTGGTTTTGAACTATATTCTCGTTGGGTGCCCCTGACACTATTCACAGTGACTCCTTGGATATTAAAAAGACTGAACGTGACGCACTATTATGCCTTTGTTTACTTCTGATCACATCTTCAAGCGAAGTCTCTCTTTTCAAGCGATTCATCTCAATGCACAATAATTGACCCTTATATTAGTAAAACCCTATGATTCATTTATATTAATGCTGTTTTTGCCCCTCACATTGACTGTGTTCGTTCATATTCAAAACACCTTTACGAAAATAAGTCATGTGTGTTGTGTTTCGAGATAAATGGATTATACGCTTTTTTAAGTTTCCATTTTGCGGTGACTTCAGTTTACATCTCCATAAAATGGTAAAAGAAATATCAAGAAACATCACGAGAGCCGAAAACTTTCAAAGGCATGTTTCTGAAACTCGCTAATGCTGACATCAATATAGCGTGCTTGCTGAATGGGCGAAAACACAGAATTGTGATCACAAGATCATGTACAAATTTAATGATAAAAGCTTAGCAAGATACAAATAAAAAAAAAAGCAAACCCCCTGAAACCTCGATGTGGGCTACACTTGTATGCTCTACTCAGTCACCAAACCTTGTCAGTAACAGCTCCTATTTTCCTCAAGTCGCTCTCTGTGAAGCTCGCGGATGGGAAGTCCCGGTGAAGCTTTAAACTTGTGTCCGAAATTCTCAGAGTCCCTATTTTTGTCCGTGTCTTCTTTATCCTCAGTATCCGAAATTTAGACCTCCAAAGTGGCGTGTGTTGCATCAAATAGAAGGAAATATTTAAAGGAAAAGCCAGTCTTCTAACAGGGCAAAGTTGTCACGTCCCTCACTCATGGACATGCGTAGTGCCATTCATCGGCAACTGAGTTGTTCGCTTCCCCGACTACGAAGGCTTACAATCAAGTCTTCAGCCATAGTGTCGTCAACTGGTGAAATACCTTGCTCATAAATTGTGCTTCTTAATTGCTCATGTACTACATCGATCGATAATTCTCTCTTTGAGTTCACGAAGCGGTCACGGCGTTCCAAACGTGACGCTCAGAGTCATCTTTTAGTGTGAACCTACCGTGAACGGCGTGTCGGTTTGAATGCAACGCGAGCATTTCTCTGACTTTCCCAGCGCCAACATCATCTAACTGACTTAAACTCGAACAATAAAAAAATTATAGTGACTCCCATGATCGAATCGCTTGGAACAACGCAAATAGCCTCCTTCAGGTTCGCAACGCTTTGTGGGCTTTTCAGGGGGAGCGCAGACGAGGTACAAAAAGTATCCGTGCAAGGGTTCGTGCAAGAGAAAATCGTATGATACCATTTGTGAGAACATCGTTTCTACGTACCAGACCCTCGTGTCGTCCCTCCCCCGGGAGGCTGTTTTTCGCCGCAGACGACTGAAAGCCCATTTTATGACTGGGCGCACAGGCAGCCCAGTAATTAGGGTTTTTGAAAACTGTTCAGCCTAACAGTTTTTCAAAGTTGACCTCTGCTGTTTACAACTTCAAAAATAGTGCTCAGGATACATATTTGTTTGTCTCGAATCTCTGATTTTGTCATTTCCATGTAATTTCTTTGCTTACCTTAAGTTCCATAGTGATTGAGGGCAAGTAATTGGCAAAATTAAACAAAATGAACTGGACTGCTGTGACACAGCCCCTTTAACGTTCTATATTATAGAACTACACATACTGTGTAGCAACTATGAAATTGCATATTGTAAATTATCTTCCATGAAGTACATGTGGACGTGTTTGGCCCTCTTTTCCTTAGAGAAGTCCCCGCGCTTTGATTCTACCGGTGGTTGAACTGCGTTAATAAAAGAACCTAAAAGTTCTACACCATGGACTCATTGACTCTTAGCAATATCTAGCAGAAGACAATAAGACCCATCTTTGAGCAAGCCTGAAGAACATGTCTTCTGGAATGATATCCAACATATAATGTAAAACTGCAAGCTTAAATTCCACTTTCTTCCTGGCATAAAGATACTACGATGGTCACAAGTAGTGATGTTGCACTTTAATGATTACTCAAAAATTAAAGGAAAAATTTCTAATCAAAGAAAAATTTGATCTACAGCAACCAAGGTATTTGGGCTACTACAATTGTATGAGTTTATACCATTACTTGAAAAGAGATATAACAGGATGCAGTGCCCATTTTACAAGGCTCGTTTTGATTCCACCCAACAATCCACTACCTTCATCAACAGACAAAACAATGACAATCAACGAAAAAGTACCTCTTTAGGGGTTTTAAATCCTAGACCAACATTGCGCACATATCGCAGTTCCTTCCTCTTGCCTGTCTGTCCCAGGACACGCTTTTTGTTTTGGAAAATTGGCGCCTGCTTTTGGTAGGCTCTCTCTGTCTGTAGAGACAAACATTTTGTTAAAAATGATAATAACTGTAAGAACCTCTATTACAGTTTTTACAAACTTGTGACAGTTACAGAGTAGCTTGAAATTACAACGTATTTTATCGATCCATGTTTTAAATAAAATATGTACAGCACCCCTTAGAATAATAAAAAAATGCATCATACATGCATTATTTGAATGCGAAATAATGCAGATAAGAAAGAGGACCTGATCCTCACTGCTAACTGAACAACCTGAGTGCTTGAAAACAACCCTGAAAATATTAAGAGAGAGAAAGAGAGACAACCAGACAGAGAGCTACATGTACTTGTGAGTCAACTGAACTACTCTCCAGTACGCTTGACTAGCTCAATGGCTGGGCATTACGTTCAGTCATTCCAAAGGTCAGGGTTTGGATCCCAGTCAAGCCTGATTTTTTGCAGGTTCTTTTTTCACCGACTAGGTTGTTCAGTTAACCACATCTTTGTGTACATTGCACTAAATTCTATGCAAAGCTTGGTTGTTTGTGGGCCCTAAACATCCCATAAAAACATGTCGGTTTTTAACAGACTTTATATAGTGAATATGAAATTTTTATTGTGAATTTTCTGGTCGACTATCATCCTGTAGGTGTTATAGAAACTGCCACAGAATAAAACTATTCACTGCCGAATGGAAAACAGCAATATTTCAGGATCGGTAATCAAGTACGAACGGCCATTGAGCTTCTGTTTCGCTGATACGTGCGAAAGTTCGTGACATTCCATATGCACGTGCTCGTTGAAGCCCTTGATATTTAGTATTCATAAATCGTACCTTTCAGTAAAGCGAAATTGTAATTAATTCAAAGACATGAGTTGTAACTTGCAACAGTAGATTCGTCGTGGAAAAGAGTGGAGAGTGGATTACAAGAGTGGATTTGAGAGGACTCAATGGATCGAACATTCGCGGCTGCAGGACACAAATGCTACCGGTACTTATCGAGGAACATTGATCTGACATTCGTTATATTATTTTATTTATGCGTTCTCGTGGTGATATTTGTACTTTAATTCTACTTTAGGTTTCAAGGCGTTGTAATGCATCTTTGAGAACGGTAATGAACATAGTGGATTGCAGCTAGCGAAACATTCAAACCCGAAGCGTGACATCAATGATGGCTGATCAAGACGCCAAAAACCAGAGACGCTGCGAAAAGGACGATTTACAAGAAAGCTAGCTGAGTTAACGAAGTCGATCGAGGAGGACAAAGGATCAGAAATAGTGGTAGTGAACTTCGAGCAGCTGAACGAGGCATGGAGAAATGTGGAAGCCAAGCATGATATGTACACAACATTTTTAAAGGATAGCGAAGAAGAAAGCGGGCGTGGATAGCAGAGTTACAGAGTTCATTTAGCGAAGCTATGGAGAAACAGGTTGAATACATCGGCTCAAAGGCAGCTAAAGCGATGGTAGAGAAACAGGTACTCAGTCAGCAAGAGGCGGCTAAAAAGACTACGAAAAAAAACTCAAAAGTTAATCGATCAAGCTTTCATAAAGCGAGACACGGAGGAAGCAGTTTTTAGCGCTGTCAGAGGACGCCTTTAAATTGTTGGAAGCGTCTGGTTTATTACAGGATGTAGTTCCTGCTCTCAGGAAAGTTCAGCAGGCGTTAGAAGCTTCGTTAGCTGGTTGCAAAGTGGCGAATGACAAATATTTGGAATTTTTGAGCAGAGAAGAGGCCTCAACTGAGGTGGGATGGATTTTGGTCGTCCAGAAACGATACAATCAAGTTGTGGACAGGATTGAATCAGTCATTGCCAATCAAACAAAGGTGGAAGTGGGCCTGAAGAATCTTGAAGCGAAAAGCTGCTAACCTTCGCCTTTGAAAAAATAAAGATGCCCCGGTTTAGCGGAGAGCTGAGAGAGTACCCGAGGTTTAGAAAAGACTTTGAAATTCAAGTTATGCCAAGTTTAAACAGCAGCACTGGCGCCTTACACTTTACGTTCGCGTTTTTGCGAGGGCCACTGGCGGTCGTGGGAGGGGGTCGACGATGACATTGATGAAATGTGGCGACGCTTGGACGAGAAGTATGGTGATCCAGCCAAGATAACAGATGTGATTATTAATAGCATACAGCGAAGTTAAAGTCATCAAAGAGGGAGAAGATAAGAGATTCGTCCGAGTTTGTCGAAGTTATTGAAAGTGGTTATCGAGACTTGTTGAGGCTCGGACTAGAGAAAGAGATAACAACCACAAGCTCCGTAAGCATAATTGAAAAAAGGCTACCAGCTGATATTAGAAGAGAATGGGCGAGGCGAGGCGAGGCGAGGCGTTTGCTGCAACACGCATTGGAGAGATTCAAAGCGGTACTAATCCCGAAGACTGGTGCTGGGTAGTTAGCGAGCAGAACATAGCCGACTGGCTCACTCGAGGCAAGGAGCCAAACGAAATCGACTTAAACAGCGCGTGGCAGAAGGGTCCAGATTTCTTGAAGTTGCCAGAGTCTGAGTGGCCTATTAGTAGGATCTGTGCCATACAAGAGCTTCCACAGGAACCTAGGGTCGTAATGATAGCCAACACCAAGCCCAAAGACTCCCTAGCAGTCAGGATTGACATAAGTAGATATTCGGATTATACGAGGCTGGTTAGAGGACGGCTAGAGTGCTTGCCATGTTCGAACCGATTATAAGCCGAGCTTCAGAAATGCTACCAGAGTCCTTGAGCCGGTGGATGTTACTAAAGCGGAGCGATTCTGGATTCTCCAAGCCCAAGAAACTATGTTAAGTGACATGAAACGTGGACGATTCAGACGCCTGTGTCCAAGAGTTCGAGAGGATGGGATAATTGTGGTAGGAGGACGTGCAGAGAAATGGCTGGAGATGAGCTACAATCAGCGCGAAGTTCCACTTCTACCGTTTAGGCATGAGTTATCCCGCTTGTATGCGAAACATATACACGAAGAAGGCCATCAGGGAGTATCTGCTACGACAAGCAAAGTGAGATCAAGGTTCTGGGTCATCGGGCTGCCTAGGATAGTAAAGTCAATTAGATACAACTGTGTAACTTGCAAGAAGCTGGACAAGAAGACTACGACGCAACTGATGGGACGGCTCCCCCAGGAAAGGCTTAAGCCAGCACCTGCGTGGAATTGTACGGCAGTTGATTTATTTGGCCCCTTCAGGATTAGAGGTGAAGTCCAGAAGCGAACCACAGGCAAAGCTTATGGCGTCATCTTCAACTGCCTTAGCACGCGAGCAGTCCATGTAGATTTGGCGCCTAATTACAGCACTGAGAAATTCTTGATGGTCTTAAGGCGATTTGTGTCACTGAGAGGTTACCCAGCAAAAATGATTTCAGATAATGGTACTCAGTTAACAGCGGCAAACGAGGAGCTCAAGAAAGTTGTGGCATCTTGGGACTGGGATGAGCTGGCCGCGCTCGAGCCACGAAGGGAATGGAATGGAAATTTGTTCCGCCGACGCGCCTTGGCAGAACGGGCCTCAGAGGCTCTTGTGAAGTCTGTGAAGAAGGCAATTACGGTAGCGGTCGGTGAGAGTGTGATGACCTTCTCTGAGTTGCAAACAGTCTGCTATGAGGCAGCAAACCTAGTTAACGAAAGGCCAATTGGTAGGCATCCGACGTCACCCGAAGATGGGACTTACCTGTGCCCTAACGATCTCCTTTTTAGGCCGATCCACCTCTAGGGTTCCTAGTGGTCCCTTTAGAGAGACGAGAAACCCAAATCACCGCTTTGAGTTCGTTCAGCAGATTGTAGACGCTTTCTGGAGAAAGTGGATTAGAGATTTCTTCCCAAGTCTGATTGTGCAGCAGAAGTGGCATACAAAGAAGCGCAACGTGAGGGTAGGTGATGTAGTGCTGGTCCAAGATTCAAATCAGGTGCGAGGTAACTGGAAGCTCGGTAAAGTGTCTAAGGTTTACCCTGGAGATGATGCCAGAGTAAGGAAAGTGGACGTGGAATACAAAAACCCCAGACCAGGTGAACCCGCCGACAAGCACGGCGGCAGGGGCTACGCCACCGTACAGAGAGCTGTGCACAGATTAATCGTGTTAGTTCCAGTGGACGACACCGAGGGAATCTCCGCTGAGCAGTAAGAAGGAATGTCAGTTGTCCGAGCGCAGACAAGAGAGCAAGTATAACGGCGACGACATAAACTTCCCCAAACGGTTTTGTGGGGGAGTGTTTCGCTGATACGCAAAAAAGTTCGTGATATTCCATATGCACGCGTTCGTTGAAGCCCTTGATATTTAGTATTCATAAATCGTACCTTTCAGTAAAGCGAAATTGTAATTAATTCAAAGACATGAGTTGTAACTTGCAACAGTAGATTCGTCGTGGAAAAGAGTGGAGAGTGGATTACAAGAGTGGATTTGAGAGGACTCAATGGATCGAACATTCGCGGCTGCAGGACACAAATGCTACCGGGTACTTATCGAGGAACATTGATCTGACATTCGTTATATTATTTTATTTATGCGTTCTCGTGGTGATATTTGTACTTTAATTCTACTTTAGGTTTCGAAGGCGTTGTAATGCATCTTTGAGAACGGTAATGAACATAGTGGATTGCAGCTAGCGAAACAGCTTCCTTCACAAACCGACTTGTTTTAAGAGTTCTAAGTTACGGGTTCGTTTAGGAAAACTCTTAAATGGGGAAATTAAGAGTACCTAAAACATATCCACAGCAAAAAGAAGCGACGAGACAAAATTTTGATGACAATTATACCATCAACTAACAGCACAAATGCCGAAATCGCGGCTAGATTGTCGCTTGCTACAATGTATTTTGTAATGAAATATATAGAGAGGGAAAAATGTATGTACATATTCATTCCTTTAAAAAAACTTTGAAGATTTACTCAGTCTCTACACAAAGAACTGATTTATTTCTCGCTAGAATTACGCTATTCTAGGGAAAAGAAAACTTTGCTCACTGTTACCGACCTGTTCCGCCATGGCTGCCACTGAAAAGAGAACGACCCACGTGGTCTCATGAATTTCTCCCAGCATGCTTACTGTCCTTGACATGAAAGCGAGGGCCCCGAAATTCAAGATGGCGGCAAAATGAAAAGTAAATGCTGTGGAAGTTTCAAAACCGATTGTTGCTTCCAAAGTCATAATGGAAACGCCTCTTAAAATGTGAGTAGAAAGAAGACATTTGACAGTTGCATACTGTTGTACAAGCCTACGAGGTTTATTCAAGGAAAAATCAGGCTTGTATTTTGATGAAGGGATCCAAACCTGACCTTGGAAATGTAGCTACAGTGAGCTGTCACAGACTTTGTAGTGGTCCGCCATCGACAGAACGTCGTTCGGATCAATCTATAGCACCGTCCTTAACCTTTTGTCATTGAGGGACGTATAAAAAACATGGACCCCCGGTCCATGGACCATCTCTGTGGACCAAGTCCATGGAGCCCGGCCCTCTGTGGACCCAGTCCACGGACTAACCCCGTGGATCACCCCAAATTTTTGAAGACGAATTTTTACCTGAGGTCTAAACGAATTTTAGGAACCTTAAATGGACGAAAATTGTGTCATTTTATATTATCAGGATCAAAGGCTTCTCATATGATACGCTTGCTCAAATTTTTCCTGAATTCCATAGATGGGTTTGGTTTAATTTGGAAGCAGAAACAATATTTCAAGATCTTTGAAGAGGGCATGAGGAGGGTAGAGAGGCAGTATTCACTTGTGCAGCTTTTTTTTGTGTTGTGTCATGTTGCATGAAGATCAACACAAAAATGACTGGGTAGGAGACCAGAGGTGAAGAGGTAACACATGATGATTGAGTACCTACCCCAGACTTCCCTTCCCTCATAGCCCTTTATTGGTTAGCACCCCTCCTGTTCCCTTAAAATATGATTCCTGACTAAGTTTACCAATAAAAACTGACCACAGTTTTGTCCATTTAAGATTCCTAAAATTTGTTATAGACCTCTGGTAAAATTCATCTTAAAAAATCAGTGGTGGTCCACGGGGGTAGTCCATGGACCAGGCCCATAAAGAGGTCCATGGACTAGGTCCATGGGGGTGGTTCATGGACCAGGGATCCATGTTTTTTTGTTCATCCCTAATTTATCATGTTTTTCTTCTACAGCCTTGTGTGTGGAGATGTCTGTGGGAAGTTCAATGTGCTGTATGGAAGGGTTAGGAATGTTTTGAAGAAAAACAAAGATTTTGAGGTAAAGCAAGAGAGAGAAAAGAAAAATTCATGTATTGTAATTTTAATCCTTGATAGTGTACACTGTACCACGTAATAAATATCGTGATGTTACCACATGCACTGTGCAGATTAAGTAAAATAAAGTTATTACAAAAAAGGTTTCTTGTCTGGATTTCTCTCCAAAAAAAAAAATGCATGTGGGCAGGCTCTTTCTTTTTTTCCGTTTCTTCTGCCTTTTTTAATCATTGCCCATCGAATGCTTTCTTTACAAATTAATACCCTCCCCAGGGACATGTTGTAGTTAATTTTTTTATGTCAGGTAAGTTTTGTTTTCCTTTTCTTTTTGGGTATGGTAATGTATGCTTGATATGAAGTTGGAACAGAAGAAAAATAAAAATTACCTGAGATGAAAAATAAACTACAACACGTACATTGGAGTTCTTTGATGAAATATTGATGCTACTACATGAGTTTATATAGCAGCAAATGAAACACAAATTCGGTTTATTTTGATACATTATAATTATATTTAATAAAATACTTCATTTATGAAAAGTAATCTTTGTTATGCAGGATTGTATAATTTTAAATATGTCTTGAATGTAATGCTTGTTGGTTCTTGTTTGTTCCGACTTTTCCAACAACAAACAATCAATAAAGACAAGAAATGTTGTGTTTATTTTCACTTGGACTTAAGAACCTAGAATTTTGTAGGTCTCTATGTAATGCAGTGTGTTTTTCATCATTCAGATGCTTTTGTGTGTTGGAAGTTTCTTTGGAACAAATGAAGAGTCTAAGAAAGAATGGGAAGCATACTCTTCTGGAAGTGTTGCAGGTACAATATACTCGGTATGCTTAACACTTACCTAAAAAAATTGTAAATTGTAAATTGTAATTTGTTTACCCAAGGATCACTAAGGAGTTCATAAGAACTCGTTGAAACATGTCCGTGCGTTCCAGATCAAATTGGGATTTGAAAGTGTTGGTTTTTAAGGAGAGGGGAAAACTGGAGTACCAGGAGGAAAACCTCTCGGAGCAAGGGAGAGAACCAACAACAAAGTCAACCCACATATGGCGTCAACGCCAGGATTCGAACCCGGGCCACATTGGTGGGAGGCAAGTGCTCTCACCATTGCGCCACCCTTGCTCCCCAAGTGCATGTACCATTTGCAATCTTTCAAGCAGATCACAGTAATTAAAGTTTCAAAAGCCAATCACCTTTGCATCCTGACCCAAAATCTCATTTATTTATTTATTTATTTATTCATCTTTTCTCCCAGGACCACTCTCTAATGGTCTTGCAATCATTATGCACTTTGACGTACATGTACATGTACATGTATGACAGTATATTCCTTTAGCAGGTTTTAAACATTTTAATCATGCACATACCTAGTCTCCAGGGTTCTCTGGAAGCTTGGGCAACAGATGAGTTACCGAAATAATACATGTAAATGCAAACTTGGGAAAGAGGTGTTATCCTCTGTGGCTAAAGATCTTTTTGTGGTCGCTCAAAATGCACTGAAATGCTTCTTTTTTTTCCTCCAATCCCCTAAAATAATTTTACCCAGTAGGTCCTATGACTCCTCCAGTGGAAGGGGATGATCTCCCACCCTTCCACACCTACACTTAGCCCTATACTTCCTTAGATATATATTGCTGTCTTTCAGTCCCGATTCCAACTTACATCCTTGGGCCAACAGAAAAGGAGGAAGTGAACTACTTTGCATCAGTTTCCTTGGACAGTGGGGGAGAAATGTGTGAAAATGTCACATATCTAGGTAACAATGTAAACACTGTATCTAGTACAGCACTGACAACCTGTTATGGGCTATTGGTGGCAATGCTGTGCCACATACAATTTATGAAAAAAGTTGTACAAGATTAAGCAGGGTGCAAAGAAAGTCATTTTTACAGCTTGCCATTCGGGCAAGCTGAAGCTAGCACTTACTAGCTCAGACGTCATTTCAACTAGCCCCGAAAGCCTTTTGATGAGCAGAATTGATTTCACAGTTCTTCTGTTATTCAAATTCCTCAAAAAACATCACTTGCCCGTCGGGCGAGTTAACCCATTCGCTCCTGGAGATTTTGCCGAAAAACGCGTTTTGAAGCTAGTCGAGTGGTTTTCTGGTCACTGTCGTGCTATAAAGAGCTAAAACTTACCACAAACCGGTTTACAGATCGTACACTTGGCGGCCTTCTGATCCAGATGCAAAATATCAGCTTGCGAAGTTCGGGCATGCGCAGAAAGCAAAATTTCGACATAGTTTTTGGGTTTAAAAGTGACACAGCAGTCTTGACTTTTACTTTTCGCTTTCTCTCCTCCCTTCTTTTTTCGCTTTTCTTGCCTCATTTTTTTTTTGTCTTGCTGGGCATTTAGTAGGCTTCATTTTGGTGGGAAGAGTTTTTAGGAAAGCTTTTAGGATCTTAAGATTAGGTGAAAGGAAAGGTAGGTGGGTAATGGAACAAGATTTTCATGGAGATTTTCAGGTCCTTGTCACGTGGTTTTTTGCTTCTTTCTCCGGTGTCCTTGACTGAATTGTGCTCATTCTGGTATGGTTTGAAAGATCTCTTCACTCTGCACAAGTTAGCGAAGAAAGTTGTCCTTGATCATTAAAACTGATGACGTCACAAAGGGTAGAAAGGACCTGGATCCGCATGGGCGGTTACGGGCGGTTCAGGGGCGAATGGGTTAATCAAAAAACCTAAAAATGGCCTTTTACCAACTTTTTCATCTGATTTTACATGAAATAGACAGATTTGGTTGTTTTATGCTGAAAAGTGGATTTTTTTCAAAAAGCTTGGTACTCTGCTTAACCCATTCGCTCCTGGAGATTTTGCCCAAAAACGCGTTTTGAAGCTAGTCGAGTGGTTTTCTGGTCACTGTCGTGCTATAAGGAGCTAAAACTTACCACAAACCGGTTTACAGGTGGTACACTTGGCGGCCTTCTGATCCAGATGCAAAATATCAGCTTGCGAAGTTCGGGCATGCGCAGAAAGCAAAATTTCGACATAGTTTTTGGGTTTAAAAGTGACACAGCAGTCTTGACTTTTACTTTTCGCTTTCTCTCCTCCCTTCTTTTTTCGCTTTTCTTGCCTCATTTTTTTTTTCTCTTGCTGGGCATTTAGTAGGCTTCATTTTGGTGGGAAGAGTTTTTAGGAAAGCTTTTAGGATCTTAAGATTAGGTGAAAGGAAAGGTAGGTGGGTAATGGAACAAGATTTTCATGGAGATTTTCAGGTCCTTGTCACGTGGTTTTTTGCTTCTTTCTCCGGTGTCCTTGACTGAATTGTGCTCATTCTGGTATGGTTTGAAAGATCTCTTCACTCTGCACAAGTTAGCGAAGAAAGTTGTCCTTGATCGTTAAAACTGATGACGTCACTAAGGGTAGAAAGGACCTGGATCTGCATGGGCGGTTACGGGCGGTTCAGGGGCGAATGGGTTAAAAACAGAATTCACTAGCCCAATAGAAAAATCCACTAGCCCCGGGCTATCGAACACTACTTTCTTTGCACGCTGTTAAGTACCGTAAATCCTCTATTAAGCTCCCCTGGGGCTTATTTCTTTCTAACACATTTTGAGGGGGGGCTTAAGAGAGATGGGGGGTTTATTCGAGAGGGGGGTTTATTCGAGAGGGGGGCTTATTTAATTTAGCAAAGATGATGGTATCAGTTCTCCATAAAGAACTAAGAATACAAAGTGGAAAAACTTAAGTACAAGAAGTTAGAGGTCATGCAGCAGAGGATCAAAAACAAAACTGAACTTCCAGTTGGTGAATAAACCATCCTCAGTCAGTCCACACAAAGTTTTATGTTGTTATTGATTAATACAGTCTATTATTTGGTAGTGAAGAATAATATGAGGGAGGGGAAGGGGGGCTTAAAAGAGAAAGGGGGCTTATTAACTTTCTTCCCCTGAAAAGGGAGGTCTTATCAGAGAGGGGAATGGGGGGGGGGGGGGCTTATTAGAGGATTTATGGTATGTTCACACGTACTGTTATGTAGTGTAAAATTGACTTCTCAAATCTGCAGTCCATCATGTTAGTTAACAGGCTTGGGACAATCATTTCCAAGATAATAAATTGTCATTGTCATTTTCATCTTGTGCAGGTAATAAATTGGAGCAGAAAATAGGCCAGGGGGAGTAGAGTAGACCCAAAAACCTTAGTGGTACTTGGTGGTGTATAATTTACGACTGCTCTCCGTAGGTAGGAAAGGAATTCTAAAGACTCAGTCTGGATTGCAGATAGCATACTTGAGTGGAGTTGAAAAAGCCGAGGCTCCTGAGGTAGATGTACATCTTTAGAACAATCAATTTATTACTGTACCATGCATTCTAAAGCCAATATCACTGAAAAAATATTATTTGTATCTTTAAAAATTATTAAAAAAAAAAAAAACAACAACAACAAATTTTATTGGAAATTGGAAAATAACTAATTACATTACTTTCCCACCTGCAAATAGCTTATGAACTAATCGAGGCGGGGGGAGCTGAAGACATATTACAAAACAAGATTTATATATAGATGGACTAAATAACAGTGAAGACACTACAATACAGTAAATAGAATTTAAACTAACATAAAACAAGGCATGTACACAACGATTACGAAGAGAGGCTAACCTAAAGTATTAAATAACTTAATAAGACGGGAGACTTCAACATAATCATCTTCTGACCGCAAAAAATTTAGTAATAATTCCTTTATCTTTTTTCAAAAGGACGAACGTTTAAGTATTTTAATCGAATAAGGAAATTTAGAGTTCCAAATTTGGGCACTGATTCTCGTGAAAAAGGCATACATTTTATCGGTTCTAGAGAACTTAACATAAAACGAGTCGCTAGAGACAGATCTTGTTCTTTAGTTATGAATCTGACTTGTTTTAACTAACTGATTGAGTATACTAACTGGTGCTGTCTGTCTGTTGATATCATACAATAAATAGCTGCAATCTCTGAAAAATAGTCTAGGCAGGGGAAGGCAATTTGATTTGAGAAAGAAGGGTACGGCATGTTCCTTAGACTTACTGAAGTAAATGAGACGTAAGGCCCGTTTTTGTAGAGTTACGATCTTTCTTTGAAATGTCAAGGCACAGTTTCCCCAACCACAAATACCATAAGTCAAGTAAGGGACAATTAATGAGTTGTAAACTGAAAGTAAAACACGACGCGGGACATAATGTCGAATCTTAGCTATAATTCCTATCGACTTGCTGATTTTGTGACAGATGGATTCGATGTGGTATTTCCATGAAAGATTTGAATCAATAATTAAGCCAAGATATTTTACATAATCTTTCATTTCAAGGTTTGCATAGGTGTTAGTCACGGAGTCAAAAATTCTAATCCTAGGTATGAAGGGCATATTCTTTTGCCAGGGACGAAAGATTACAAAATTTGATTTTTTTATGTTCAAGGACAGTTTGTTGGCCTTTAGCCATTCGTTGACATTGCCAAGCTCGCGATTAACAAGTGTTTCGAGTTCCTTTAGGTTGTTATTTGCAAGTATTATACTAGTATCGTCAGCAAATAGATAATTATTACCAATAGTATGAATTAGGGCTTAGGAGACAAAGGAAATTGAGAATTAGAATCAACCTTTTTTAAAAGATTGTAACCTGTTTATTACTTCAGCATTGGCCATTTTGAAATTACGTCCCGATTACTTTCTATTTAAAAAAAAGTTGTACTCAACTCAGTCCTACTGTGTTACCATAAATTAATATACCGGTAATTCACTAATAGCTCGCCTCAACTTCCAGGGGCCATTGAAAATCAGTTGCCTGGTTTCTTTCCTCAATGCAATTTAAGCATTAAATTAATTATATTTTGTTGACTGAGAAGTGATGTTCTGTACATTGTATTTGTTTTAAGGAAGGGTGTCATTTTACACAGAGTGATATTGAAGCATTGGAGTATCAATGTAATGAGGAAAGTTTTAAGGGTCTTGACATCCTCATGACCTCATGCTGGCCTAAAGGTGTTTCACAGTTTGCTAATCAACCTGTAAGTGTTTTGATCAAAGAACATCTGCCAGTACAGCAACTCATGAGTTTTTTTAACAGCTTAGTTTAGTAACTTAAAAGTTTAAGTTGAACTTAAACTGAATTTGAATGCAACAGAAGTGGTTTTAAATTATTGCTTTGCATTTCAAGTGATTTAACTTGTCATGATGATGATATTGTTTTTCAAGTCCACAGACTCAGGGAAAGCAATAATACATGTATTTGACCTCATGTAATGTTGTGATTTATAGGATAAATTTATTTATTAATAGAACATAATAAAAGTACATGTATTAGCTCTCCTCTTGAGTAATGAGCCAAAACCAGATGAACACAAAAAACAAATTATTATTTTATTACAGTTGTAGTGACTTTTTCAAGTACAGTAGTGGTTAAGTCTGAATTGTCTTTCAAAAGATGTGAGAACTTCTTGTTGCTCAAATTTCATAAGAGGATAAAAACTGTGGCAACCTTTTCAACCTACATGTACAGTGTACAGCATAATATTGTTATCTGTAAATTGCACTCACAGAGCCACATGGGTATGCTTCTTCACCCAGGCGACACTCAACTTACTTGGGCAAAATACTTTTGTATTTAGCTGGTCTTTTGTTTTCCTTTTTCTTGAGGATGGTATTGACTGCGAGAATTGTGGGTCAGTGTTAGTGTCTCATCTGGCAGAACACATGAAACCAAGGTATCATTTTGCTGGTCATGAAGGGGTTCATTACGAACGAGCACCCTATAGGTAAGGAGTAAATAATAATAATAGTAATAAATAAGTTATTGTTCATCATTTTATTTCCTGAAGCATGTTAGCAGTCCTAAAACCTTCAAATATTATTTTTATAATAATAATCTGTCTAGTTGTAAGCCTACTAGCTAGAGCAGGTTGTTTGATTATTACATCGCCAACAAAATAATAATAATAATAAAGCCTTTATTTAAAGAGGGTAGCACTTAATAGCCAAAGGCTAATAAACTTGTGGCCCTCATAAAATACTCAACTATTTACAATCTAATAAAATATTGCTAGCTAAAATATATAAACAATTAAATAAAACAGGATTCGATTTTTATAAAAAATAAAAAATTATCAAATGATAAAATGACGCAAACATTGTTGTTCCTTAAAAATCTTGGCAAACATGTTCTTTTTAAAACATGCTACAGAATCTAGTTTCCTAATTTCGATTGGTGTACTATTCCACACTCTTGTTGCCGAAACAGCAAAAGAGCGTCCTCCCTCAGTTTCTCTTCTTTATTTAGGACAAACAGCGTTAATGCTTGAATATCTAGTGTTGCGGGAGTGCCGCTTATTGTTCAAAATTAAGTGTTCATTTAGATAATTCGGCAAATACCCATTAATTCGCTTATACATTATTATGCATTTATCTATCTTATGTTGCTCATAAAACGGAATCCAAGTAACCTAGCTTGTTAAACAAAGCAACTGATGGTGTCATGCGATTGGCATAAGAAACTAAACTATAAAATATGGAACACAAAATTAATGTGAAATTGCAAAATAATGATGAAATGAAAGTCCCATAAGTACTAACAGTATTATTTGTTCCTTCACAGTCAGCAGTTTCTGAAGTTAAAGAGCTCACTCACAGAAATTCTGTTTAATTATAATTTATTATGATTATTGTATTTATAGTCTTTAGTATTATAGTTATATTGTTCAGTAATAATATTTTTTAAAGTTATGGTCAATATTTTATTATAATTTCAACAGTTTATATAATTATCTCAATTAATTATTTATTTCATTTTCCTTTTGACAGGAATCATCAAGTCCTCCGAGAGACAGCACAACATGTAACAAGATTTATTTCCCTTGCTCACGTTGGAAATACAGCCAAGAAAAAGGTAATGATAAACTGTTCATTGTAGACAATACTCCCCGTACTAATAGATATTGGTTTCTTTTGGTAATCAAGAATGCACAAGTTGTTTGAGTGTTATAATTCCCACCCCTTCTTTGATTCCTCAATGAACTAATTCCAGCTTAGTTCATACATGTACATAGATTTTGATAGTTTGTCAACTCCTTCCCTTTTGGCCTCTGTTAGATACATGTATCACTTTGAACTAATGGTGCACACAGTGTATTCACACAGTTTAGTTTAAGAGCTAACAGGTTGCTAATGACGTTTTAATGATGATGGTGTACATTGTACAAGACTATTTGAAAATAACAATATTTATTATATAAACACTAATGAAATACAAGGTGAGCTTTCACGTGACAAAACATGATATCTTCACACCTGAAAATTACATGTTATTTTCACATGTGGAAAGGTCACCATTGCTATGGTTACATGTTAAATCGCACCTTTCACAAAAAAGTACTAAAGTGAAATGGTTTGGTATGCCTTTGGCGTTTATATAATAAAATTAGAACATTACATATATAGCCACTTGGAGATACAAATTTCCCGTATTTTTCAACAGGAGAAGGGATTAATTTTATATCTCTGCATGGCCACTTGATATCCTTTACATACTTTTTGATTATAATGTTGATATTTTATGGCTGCAGTACATGTATGCATTCAATATTGTACCCATGGTCTCCATGGACAAGGATGAACTTGTCAAACAACCTCCAGATGTTACTGAGTTTCCTTACAGGAAAGTGCTGGGAGGAAATGATGTGAGCATGTCGAAATCAGAAATGCAGCAGGTAAGATGCTGACAGGAATTTGGCCAGGGATGTGGTAGTTTTCTTTTTTTTGAAGTATCACCTTTTTCAAGCTAGTTTACTAACTTAGAACAAACGCTACTGAGTCATAGTAAACAGATAGCAGCCTGTACAAAATTAATGACTTTCGACAAACTTAAGCAAAACTGACAACAAATGACAGAACAACCAACAATTTGACTAACAATAAACAACGGTTTAACTGAGGCAAAAGACAAATCGGAATGCACCAATGACATTCATAGCCAATAACATCATGGCTTAACTGACAAATGACCAATAACCTTGACTTTGACCAATCAGGTCAATACAGAGTTAAATGCCATCAACTGATGTGATACAACTCATTTTGCCTCTGAAGACGACTACCGCACAGGTTGTCGAAACGTCAGTGACTGTCAACAACAGTCCTATTCAAGACTACACTCTACCACACAATCATATCCAACCTACTGTAAAAAAAGATAACACACAAATTTCTTAGTTCATTCAGCAATGTTTACTTGATATTAACATTTTGTTGCTCTGATTCTTGTACTAGGATGCTGCTTCAACTCAGAACTTTTTCTTTGACACGCAAAATGCTACAAGATCACAGGGACCTAGGAGTAAAAGACAAGGTGATCATGGTACAGTATCAGTATTGCAGTAAAACTATACTCTCGGCAGAATTAATTGTCTCCTTGGAGGAGCCATTTCAGTTTCTTAACTAAAATGGTTCTAAAGCATACAGCTCTGATCAAGTGCTAACATGCAGTCCCAATTCTACCTGTAGCACACAAGAAGTGTTGTTTGCTATATTAAAGTGACTCGGTGTTTCCGGTTCAGTATTGCGTTAGGTAACAAAGGATCAATAGAGAATTTGACAGTGATCCAAAAGGATTTGACTGGAACATAATAAATTTTAGCGAAATGTATACAAACTGCGTTTCAGCTGAATTGCTCAGTCATCATCATTCTCGTCACAAACCGGTCACATGACCACAGAATTGTCGTGTGACAAGACAGCGTGACTGTATTTGTTCGAAAGTAGCCAAAACTCTCCAAAACTGCAACCTAAGGGACAGAACTGTTTAATGTAAATAATGTATCTGAGTGGGTTAAAAAATAACTATTGGCCATTGTAGACAGATGGTAGGCTCAATCGTCTGAGCCACTTTTCAAGAAATGAGCCAACAGTGACCAGACTTAACCCTTTAAGTTCCAGCATCCACATACAAATTCTTCAAACTGTTCTCTTTACATTTCCTTAAAAAATGAGCTGTGAGAATTTGATAAATGATCAAGGCATCTTCTCTTAGCTTATCATTTTATTAATTGTCGTAGCCTTATCTCTTGACAATGTATGGATATTGTCAGGAGAAAATTGATGTTGGTCGCTATTGACACTTAAGAATAAGAGAGTGGTGGAAATTGTGCCTACAGATACGGCTGTTGTAGAGAGTTGGTTACTAGTAGAAGTTTCACTGTATGCGTTTCCTGTTGTTATTGCAAAGCTTTGACTGACATCCTTTTTCTTTCAAACCTCACCTATGAAGCTGGCGAAGGTGGTGGACCCAAGAAACAAAGAAAAGGGCCCCGTAAGTGCATGCGCTCTCATCGACATTATTACCTCATTATTACCTCATTATGTCTCAGTCGGAGAATTTTAACTCTCGTATTTAATAAAGTTATGCTTTTGATTTCAGCACCTTTGAAAGGTTCCTGTTGGTTCTGTTTGGGAAGTCCGCAGGTTGAAAAGCATTTGGTTGTGAGCGTGGGAGATGATGTAAGTGGTAATCAGCTTATCAATTATCCTTGGTCAACAAGCAAGTCTGACAGTTACATGTTGTCGGTCAGACGGAACGTCACTCAGACAGTCATCAATCGATCAGCCAGTTAGTTAGCCAGTCAGTCAGTCCGTCAGTCAAACAGTTAGTCAACTAGTCTGACTACAACTAATTTAATTGCTCTCTCAGTGTAATTTACTACATGTATTAATTATTATTACATGTATGGTTCAATCTGATTAAGTTTCATTGTGCTCGATGGATAAATCAAAGAAGAAAATTAGAAAATACTTGCGCTAACGGCTTTGCTCTATTTTCCGATAGTCTTATGTGGCCTTGGCCAAGGGAGGACTGGTGCCTGATCACGTATTAATCTGTCCCATCGGCCATTTCGAGTCAACAGTTAAACTGTCTGAGGTACGAAGCCCTTTTTTGAACTTTCATTCTCTTTCTTCCCTTGAAGTTCTTTTTTTGGTGTTTTTTGTTTGTTTTGTTTTGTTTTGTCCACGTTCTGTATACGTATAGTGAACGTGTTACATTCTTGATGTATTTCAGGATGTTCTGATGGAAATTGAAAAATATCCTTTCTATTAGTTAGGTTTTTTTGTTTTTTCTTTCTATTTTAATTTTTTCCAGTGTATTATTTGTGGTAGTAATTCGTTGAGGAATTTTCAGACTGCCGCCTTTTTTCTGTCATCATCATCATCATCATCATCATCATCATCATCATCTTCATCATCTTCATCATCATCATCATCATAATCATCATCGTCATAATCATTGTTTTATTTTCATTATTTATTTATTTTTTCATTTGTCAGAGCATTATACTTTAGGATGCGACACTTGCTATGTATTTTCTTTAACTTCCAGCAGATATAAGAGAGCTCTTCACAGGTTGTTTCACAGTGAAGGAAAATCCTGTGTAATTTTCGAGAGGAATTTTTACACACAGCATCTTCAACTGCAGGTACGTTGCAAAATACCATATATCTTAGACTGCAAAATGAAAAATTAGAACAACGGTTACAGTAAAGAGTTTTGCAACATTTAAATAAATCTAGATGTGGTTCAAAAATACCTTCGTAATTGTTTCGCTTGGGAAAAGCTCCGCAGGATAAAAATAACAATGCGACGAACGTTTTCATGTGTGTTCGTTTCAATAATGATCCAGTTTTAGTGTTAAGCTCATGCGTTAGAGATCCAATGTGAAAGATAAGCGGAACAAAATTGCCCTGGTTTGTCCTAAATCTGAATTGTGAAAATCACTCTGTCTGTCGGAATGGGCGTTTTGTCTTTCTCTTATCTTTAAAATTTTAAAAGTAATGATTTATCATTTTAAGGTCCTGTTTACGTGTAGGTGGGGGACCCTAGATGGGTGAGGTAACCTGCAGCGGGTCACCCTACCTATCATGTAAACGTGATCAAATTAAAATGAGAGATTATATGGACAGGTGGGTTACCCCACCTAAGCGGGTTACCTCACCTTCCTGGGGTCCCCCACCTCCATGTTAACGGGCTCTAAGACTATTCTTCTTAAATATTTTCCCTAGGTTGTACCTGTGCCCAAAACGGAGGTGGACGAGTTAAAAGATATCTTCAAAGAGCACGGAGATCAAAATTCTCTACCCATTAGAGATGTCCCAGCCAATACAGAGCTAAAACAGGTCTTTTGTCGAGGAGAGATAATGTTTTTTCTTCTTATATCAATGCTGGTCATTACTTGTATCAAAACTTGGACCAGTGACTGATTATTTTGGCCCTAATTCTGTTAGTAGCTGTTTAAAATTTCGACCGGTTTCGAAGTCCTCGGTATAACGAACGATTTTCTTTACCCCAGTAATAGTGAAATATATGAAAAAGAACCTCGATATAGCGAACAAATTTTACCAGTCCATTTGCTCTTCGTTATATCTAAGTTCCACTGTAAAAGAGGCAGAGTCATAACGTCGATCTTGACAAACCTAATGGTAATGAGCAAAATCTGCCGTTGTCTCTTGACCTTTGGAATTTGTGTAGAGTGTTGCTGCAAATTAGGGAATTTCAGGTAACATTCGCACGGCTCCGGACGAATTTTCTACCGGCTGAAGAATTTGACCGGACACTTCGTTCGCGCGGGATCATTCAATAGTTTCGCTCTGTTCACACGGATCTTTGAACGGCTAGGCGTCTAAATTGTCGCACGGTTAGAGCGATGTTCGTGTGACCTTGAAATGAAAACGGGCGAACAAAACAGAAACAACAACCAACGAAATAGAGCGATTTGATTGGTTTATCGAACGGATACAAACGCGCGTGGCTTTTGGTTGGTTAAGCGAACGCTCGGTGAAAAAACTTCATGCTTGAGAACTTTCTAGAAATCAGTCGATACTTCGGTTTGACGTCATACCGCAACACGATTGGCCAATCGAACAATGCGTTCTCCATATTAGGGTTTTCTTTGGCGGGAAAACGAAGAGTCCATGTTTTGATCTTTTCATCTACTGGCTGGTTAAACAAATAGTTTTCAAGGTCATACTAAAATCGCTCTAAGGTTGCTCAATGTCAACGGAATGGAGCACCTAAACGCACGAGTTTTCAACCGGTCGAAAATTCGTCCTGTGTTGTGTGACAGGACGAGTCTCCTACCAAGTGACGTCAATAGCATTCTCTGAAGCCTCAACGCGATTAGCCCAACTCAGTTTGTCAAGTGTAGACGTCATCTCCTGGAGTTGAATTCCTCAGACGGAAGAAGAATATCCAAGTTCAAAGTGAAAAAGAGAACATACAAAATAATGTCAGTGTCTTTTCTTGGCAGTTTGTACCAGTAGGAGCACCGTACTTTGTGGCAGAGTTCGATAACGGTGAACGGTTACTTCATCGCGTGACACACAAAATGCCTTTACAGTTTGGAAGGTAATAAGCGTCACCTACCTTTTACTGTAACTACAAATATGGAACGTTTTTTTTAGGAGACATGGAATACACGTAACTGCCTAGGTTTACATTTCAATATCATTTAGCTATTATGTTATTTGTACTGGCAGAAATGTACCATATTTTCTTACTTTTGGTTGACTTAAGTTCATGAACAAAAAGAGCGTTTTCTTCTTAAGTTTAACTTTTCCCTGCAACCTATTGAATTTTTCCTCTTCTTCCAGCTTGTTTCAACAATGTTTATTTGTTTAATACTTCAGTGGCCGTGCACTGGCCAGCATGCATAAGACATACTTGTAGTGGTTGGCTTATTTTCGATAGAATACTGCCGTTTTCGCGTCATCGTTTGCATGAGCGTGCTCTCTTCACGTTGTAAACGGCAAAAGGCAAGCGTTCTGATTGGTTAGGAAAATAATCTAGTGGCCAAAATCGTGATGCTTAAATAACCTCTCTGATCTATCAACTTTTGTAGGGAAGTTGTGGCCAGTCCCTCTCTTCTCAATATGCCCGACAGAGTGGACTGGAAAGCCTGTAAAGTTTCCGAAGAGGAAGAAAAGAAGATGGCCGCCGAGTTTAGAAAGAAATTTCAGCCGTTCAACTTCAACTTGACGTAGGATGAAGATGAAATGGAAAAGAGAAACCCCGGCTCTCTTTAGAAGATGGCCGCCGAGTTTAGAAAGAAATTTCAGCCGTTCGACTTCAACTTGACGTAGGATCAAGATCAAATGGAAAAGAGAAACCCCGGCTCTCTTTATCCCCCTCGCGCCGTTGCTTTGCCCCGCTCAGCCTTAATTCGTAAAGGGGAATCCTCTACTAACTATGGTTCAGCAAATAGGAAAGAAACTGTAGTCCGTCCCAGCTCCTTAGTTGCTGGAAAGTTGTCAACAACGAGGAATAAACTTTTACCGGGATACTGCTTATAGATACCGACAGAATCTCCAAGGCTCATATTGCATTGTTTTTTCTCGTTGTTGTTTCGTTGATCGCGTTTTCTTCTTAGACTTATTTTTTACATTGTTGGTTTTTACTTGTTCTTTTCATACTTCTCAAGGCATAAAAGAAGGCTGCAGAACGTCACAATGCAGACTTGCTGAAGTTCGCATAGATTTTAATAGCAGGTACTCCTCACCCGCGAGTGCAGAGCCGCGGCTGCAACGAGACACCCACGGCTGAGACTGAGGGTACTTTGCACTTGTCAGAACTGACCGGCCAGGCCATTCCCGTCGTTATGAAAATTTCACTTTTAATGAAAACTATCCAGCCAGATCAGTCAAATACTATAGAAGACGCAAAAAAAAAGCTTTGGAAAAAGCCGATTTCATTTGCTAACAACCGACTGGTCCGGCAATGGTCCTGCCGGCCAGTTCTGACAAATGGAAAGCGCCTTAAGCCTAAAGAAACTGCAGCCGAGGGAAAATTCTTGGCGAGGCTTGCACACCCTCAAAATTGTACTTGTAACTTAATAGAGCAAATGGAAATACAGGTAATATTTCTCATATTCTGCTTCATTTATTTTGCGAGTAGTTTGACTGTTTGAAGTTGCTTTTTCGATGAAGCGCAATCAGTCGAAAAATCAATCAATCGAAAAAAACAAACAAGCAAACAAAACAAAATACTAAAACGCAACTATTTTGATTGTTAAGGAATTAAATTCAAAACACCTAGCGGTAACTTTATTTTAACAGTTTGTATCCGTCTGGGCGAGTTCATAAAGATACCAAATTTGAAAATTAAAACAGTGAACTGATCCTTACGGCAGGAAGAGTGATGGAAAAAATGAAGTAAGAAAGCAAAAATAAAATACATTTTATTTTTGCGTTCTTTCTTGTTTTGTGGTATTGAAGATTTTACCGATGCAGGTCTACTAAAGATCCGTGGCTAACCCTCTGGATTGTAGTTTAGTGGTTTTGCCTTGACAAGCGTTTAATAAAACTGTGAAAGTTACTAGTACAGAAATACGTGTATCGCAGAACCTCACGAAGCACGGGTGAGGACGCCTGTAAAATGTTAGCGATGGGACGGCGGGAAAGAAAAATAGTAAATTTTGTCACTGGGGAGGGCGGGTTTCAACACCGGCTCTGATATTGGAAGCTGAGATATGCTCAATCGCCTTTCGGTTGGAGTAAATTCAAACGCAGTTCCTTGCCTTTAAAAAAGCATCCTGATATGGGCAGCCAAAGTTGCGTAGGTCCCGTGTTCACATTGGATGCGGAGCGCAACAGGAAATAACAGATATAAATGGGCCTACTGAGTTTGCATGTTCGGCCCTCGTGATACTCGCGCGCTTCAAGCGCGACGAGATTGTAAACTCGCTGTGCTCGCAGCAGCCGTCATAGTTGGGTATTCTATAGTTCAATACTTTACAGAGCGCTTGTCCTCGCGGCTTGCGAAGCAGGCACCGGCAGGAGCCGATTAATCGGCTTCTGACACCGGTTATTATTTTTTTATAGGCCGCGCGAGGGGAATGCGCGTCCTCGAGATTTCTCCCTTCGCCCGGCTCGTGCAATGCAGGGTGAAGTAAGGTAGTAGAAAAATATGAAACGGCAAACTGATTCTTACGGCAAGGCGATGAAGAAATAAACAAAAGAATAAAAAAAATATATATACATATTTAAACAAACTGCCCAATAATTCGGTTTGAAAACAAACCTTCTTCAGGGGCTAAAAGAAATATATATATATATTTTTGTTTTATTCTTTTCTTTAATTCTTCGTCACCTTGCCGTAAGGGTCGGTTTGCCGTTTCATACCTTTTTACAAGTTTAATTGTACTGATCCAGGTCTGCAACTGGGAGATCCGGCACCACTCATTGGTTTGTTGTTGTGGACCTGCTGACATTCTATATATTTTGAAATAAACTAGGTCCAAGAATAATATTAAGAAAAATGTTTTTATAAAGAAAGAAATCATTGTAAATTTTATGTACTGACCCCTTCCCCAAAGTGGTCGAGGAAGAATCGAAGGAGAAGGAAAATGCAGTGTCGACCAAAATAAAAATACTCTTTTATAACATGAGACACGAATAAACTAAAGGAGACATGCTAAAGAAGGACCGATAAGTTTGCGTCTGTTCACTCAACCTTCAAAAGGTTGCGTAGCAATCTTTAAAATCGAATTTCTTTATGTAAATTGTTTCAGCGATGCTAAGTGACTAAATGTTCTTGAATTGTATGAGGGCTTAATTACTTGCCATGCTAAACGACGGTTCTACATCCAGTGAAATGGACAACAAACGAATGATGGACCGATCATTTAATCGTTGTTGTTATTTTGCTTCTGCTGGTTAAAATGTTCATATTATTTCCAGTAAAAGAAAGGTATGTATTCAGAGTATTTTCATTAAACATTAATACAAAATATAAGAATTAAATAAAAATATCCAAAGTGAATACTAATTTAAAGTTCGACGTGGTACTCTAGTAAGTAAAGGCGAATGTGTGGAACAAGTCGCCGATAACTAGCGGCATTGTTTGAGTCCCTTGACTCTGTACTTTGTGATATCACGATGACTTCTAGAGTTTCAAAATAATTTAATTACAAATACATCATTCTGACATTTCGCAATGCTGATATTTTCCGAAAGGAAAGGTCACAGTACACGAACGCCGCATCAGAGTGGAGCGGGCCTGGAGCCGAGTTTATCAACAAACTTGCTTTATTCATTCCTCAAAATCTATTAGCTATCCTTGCGAGAGAAGACAACATGTTTATTAAAGAGTAGTGCCAAGGAGACCATCGAAATCTAATTGAACAGAACACCGTTACGAGCTCCCGGCGATCTACCGGGATGTTTTGCCACGTGATTCACGGTCCAAGTCAAAATGGTCCAAGCCAAAATGTCTAACTCCATCACTTGTTAAAGATTCCATGATGGAATAGAAAGCTTGTGTCTGCTTACAAGTTTTCTACGGCTGCGATTTGAAATCTCGTTTACTTTAAAGATAGTTTGTATCATTACAAACTAACCCTTGCTTAAATGATTGCATGCTCATTTGATACCTTTTTAGAATCCAAATGACCTTTTTCCTCATTAAGAAACTGTTTTATGGGATTGGGCCGAGACGAGGGGCGCTTGTCAGTTAATCGTAACCCGTTATTAAACGGCTAATACATGGTTTCATCAAAAGAGGTTCTCTGTTGGTTTCATAGAATCGTGACTCATTGTCCATTAGAATAGTGTAGAAATTTGTTTTAAAGTTTTTTTCATTGTTACTTGCAGAAGTAAGCGCTTAAAATCAGGGGCACCCAACAGCAATTTTCGGGAAAATATCTGTTCGGAGGACGATTTGAGAACTAGAATTTTCGGAACATTTGTTGTAAAATTTCTTGCTTGCCTGCCTCTCCTAGGATTTTCGAACATCTACAAAATGGTATAATTACCCATTTTAAACGGATATTTACCCTAAAAAAGGCCACCTAGAATTTTCGGGAGCCTTTTCCTGGCTGAAATTTTCGAAAAGGTAAGTTTTGATCCCTATAATTTTCGGATCACTAGACTTTCAGCTAGGAAATCCGAACAGATGAAAAGTTTTTAGGGGATAAAAATATGCCTATATCTACCGTTTAAAAACTAAAGTGCGTTCAACAATGCTATGTTAAGTGGTTTGGAACTATATCCTCGTTGGGTGCCCCTGTTAAAATGTTATGAAATAAGCGCAATGAATGAATAAATATGCAAGTCCGACAACTACACTACGATTCTCTTTTTACAGGTAAAAAGAGAAATGATGGCATCAAGAATGCAGAAAGCGTTTCTTGTTTCTGTTCTGGTTTCTGCTGCAGTTATTGTTCGCGACTTTTACAATTGCAACACTTTTGTTGCTTTAAATGTCTTGAAGAAGGCACGTGTCGATGAAAGCTTTCTCTCTGACTGGTGCCGTCTTCAAAGATCGCGCGTGGACTGGGAAGGATTGGTTTCAAGCTGCCGACATAAAATGGCATGGAAACACAGAGAAATGAGTTCTATGAACAGAACTGACCCAAAGAGAAGTTTTATATCCAGATGGCAGTTACGACCACAAGGTTAATGAAACTTCACGGAATTACTTAAATTATTGTATGGGTTAAAATGCACACGCACAGTTCATTTTAATACTTTATTAGGCTTTATGATTTTCCTCCCACATTGCCGAGTTTAAGAATGATAAATTTGGGTTTTTCTCACCTGACGACCGGAATTCAGGATTTTACGAAAGACTGTAATTATCAATGGGACACTGGATATAGTGTTTTGCGATGCGAGATTCTGAAAAGCTCTCACACCCACAATCCCCTGCGCACGAGAGTGTCACGTGTCTGTTTTGACGGTATCACTTTTTTGTACCTTCATATCCTACTGGTACTCCGGAGATGAGATAATGTTCCAGGGGGGAGATCCCCGTATAAAAGTTATGGGAATGCCCGTAGTCTCGTTTTGGGGCGTAAATTGCAGATTTTGATCTCACTTAGGCTGTTTGGGATGGAAGGTTACTATATTTGCCCATTCAGGTATCGCTTCGTAGTGTGCATAATGATAAATCTACAAAAAATTCCCTAACGCTGACCACAAGGAAATCTCCCGTAGGGGTCAGTTTAAGCTTGAGCCACATCCACACTGGTCTCCCTTAGAGGTTTAATTTGAGCTTTCCGACGAGCATTCCCATTACTTTCATATGGGAGTTCCAGGGATAATCTGAAAATTTCGAAAGTGTTGTTTTGAAAATATTTGCTCTGGAGTGGGATAAGCCGATAAAAACCGGTAGTGTAATGAAGGGGATTGGGGAAAATTTGGGCCGAGGTGACGGGATGATTTCCCTCGCACCAATAGTCATGGCTTATTTAAATATGTTTTTCGACATCAACCGAACTGCATTGCTCTTGCTCTACATTGAAGATTTTAACCGGGGGTGGGGTTGGGGGAGATATCCTCAACAGGGACTTGAACACTGTTTTCCTATTTTGATCTTTTCTTGTATCGCCTCATGTAAAGGAATCCAAGGCAGTCCTGGATTGTAGATTCCATACCATGGATTCTGGATTCCAAAGTCCAGGATTCTGGATTCGACGGCAAAAATTTCCCAGATTCTAAAATCCGGATTGCCTTAAATGGCGCGACTTGTAGTTTCTTGGACGAGAAATTCCTAAGACATCATACAACCCCATAGCAGTGATATCAATTTTGTGATTATTGTTTTCCTTGGTCTTTTCACCCTTAGGGGAATTCAGCCGTTTCTTCATTCAATCCGTGACTAACGATGGAGTTGTTAAGAGAACTGGAGGGGATTCATGGAGAGTACATATCAGACAAGGACCAGCATCCCTTGCGCCTATGGTTATAGACCATGATGATGGAACATACGAGGTCATGTTCCTTGCTCTTGAGCCTGGGAACTACTCAGCCAAGGTTTTCTTGGACTACACGCTTTGTGAAGGTTACAGGGATCCGCCTGAGGATTGGTATTGCAAAGGTAGTGATGGAGTACTGCAGTAAGTAATACGAGAATTAGTAGTCTTCCCATATATAAACGCAACAAGACTTTACTTTGGTATCTTCCAGGTACAGTCATTTGTTTGACTCTCTGAAACGCTGACACCTTTTCCAATACAGGCCAATACTTGCCAATACTAGCTCAGAAGAGACGGTTTCCAACTACATGTATTCATTCTTGCGCCTTACACTCGATCAGGTTTAATGCTTCGCCAGCAATTTTGGAGCTATTAGTTCGGTTTTCATTGAGTAAGTCAGACCCCAAAAGTACTCGGCTCGACAAAACTTAATGGTAAATATTGTTGCAGATAATTTGCTCGGCCAGTCAATTGAGTAGAAATTGCATTTTTTCAATCCAAATGTTTTGAAACCCGTTGCGACTTCTCCCATTCGTAAATATTATAAATGCTTAATTGAAATAGCCTTAAAAAATAGTTTCTTAATTTGACTCCCTAAATTCAGGGGACATTCAAGGCCACAAACAACAGCAAGGCATGTTGGGATACACTGGTGACGATTTCATAATGACTGCTCTACAGAGTGGGAAACCTGTGACTTTTCATATTGCGGAATCTACAAAAAGAAATGGTATTAACCTTATATTATTTAATAATTGTGCTTTAAATTGACAAATCTTTAGCAGGTACTGAAAGGTAAAGAGTTCATACACGGCTTTTACACAAGGAGCCACAAGGGTTTGTGGCTCAGTAAAACATTCATTGTCTGTGATACAACGTGAAGTATCCATTGAGCCAGATATAAGCAAATTCTGATGCAAGTTGTTGAATAACAAGTAAATCATGTAATTTAATTGCAGGTTTGTTCAAGTTCATTCTGCCATTGGCAAATGATTCCCATCTACCTGATCTTTGGCGATTATCATGTAATGTCGATTGCTCGATGTTGCTATGGAATGGCTTTGGACGATGGGTGAACGAGAAATGGAAACCATACATTCCTGAAGGTCAAATTAGTTAGAGATAGTTGGGTCCGCGAAATTGAGAAAGCGCGAACATGAAAATTTCGCCTGTCTTTCACTTAAGCGTCATATCTCAATCTATTGACAGCCTGGTACATGCTAGTTTAATGAGGCCCATGTCACGTACATATCACGTGTTGTCAGTTACAGGTTTAATGTTTTTTGCTTTCAAACCACCTTACGCTGTGTTATCATCAAGAGCCTCTGCTAGGAAGAAGAAATTCCAATGCAGTCACTTTGTTTCTTACAATCTAGCAGATCCTTACTCCGACTGGGAAGAGAGGGTAGGGGTGGTAGGTACTGAATGATTTCAAGCGCTTTAGCTATCTTACCGGCAAAACCAAAGCCGCGGCAAAGAGGCACATGCTACAAACTCCGCTAGCCAGTAACATACGCATGCGCACAGTCTTCGTCTTCTTCTTCCTCCCGGCAAACCTCGGAATATAATAGCATTTCCCAATGTCAAAGAACATATTTTTAACTATTACGAGAGTAATAATTTATTAACTCTACTGTCTTTAGCTTATGAAAACAAAGAGCGAGGAAGGAATTCAAAACTAAGCACGTTAATGGTGTATGGAGACTCAATAGGTGTTCATTACTACAGGCTAGCAACAAACCGTCCGTTGTGTAAAGAGATATTTCGCACTTGTAGCAAGAAGTACATGTGGACGTATGATGTAAGTTGGAAAATATTAATGTCCTTTCTCTCAATTGTTTCTTCTTTTTGGAATAGTGGAAAAGAAAGAATGCTGGAACAGGAGAAGGAAAATATAATCAATTTGAATCAGAGCAAAAATGAATGAAACTACAGAAATTTTAAGAGACTGGATACTTTTCAGAATAATAAAATTGTTAAAAAATCCATGAGCGTTTTAAGGAACTATGATGCTAATCATAGCACCATGATATATGATGATGATCGAACCTGAAGTGGCAAAACCATCCGAATCTCGAGAAAACGTTGCCCAGCTGTACTACTTCCATGCTATATAAAATGCTCATATAATGAACATCGTTTAATGAAAATTATTCATCCTTTTGATTGGCCGAGAGCGCACTACGTGACCTGCAAATAACTGCCTACAACTAATGGACTGCTCATGCGCAATGTCGTCCAGCTGTGTTGGGCCTAAGTGTTGGGCTGCAAATAATATGCTGCTCATGCGTAAATGATACCACGCTTTTCTCCTTCTTCAGCGATCGCTCTTGCGTGAAAATGGCAGATCCGCTTCGCTTCTGCAATCAGGATATTCATTAACAACAAACTCGGTGATCGAATGATGAAATAACTATTGAACTTAGTTATCGCAAAATATCGTGATTTGTCAGTGTCTCGCAGATCAATTATTTGTCGAAGCGGAAGGCTGCTGCTCGCCACTGATAAATCAGGATGTTTGGCTCAACCTCAGTCGTCTAAAAATTGTTTTAGCAATAATTGGACTTAAGAGACTTTAAAAAGACTCAATGGGTTTAAAAGACTTAAAAGTAGTATTTGCACAATTTTCCAAGTTTTCTTAGATTATTCTTAATCCAGCCCAGTCGTATTTTTGTTACCCTGCGAGCAGAGACTACATTTTCGTGCTATGAGCTGGCGTGGGAAAAGTAGCTACTTTTCGCACGCCAGCTCATACCGCGAAAATGTAGCCTCTGTTCGCATGGTATATTTTTGTGCATTCTTTATCGCGAAATTTGTAATTTGGGTGATCGTTGTTTAGTTCAGTAACTATTCTTTTTCTAGGCTGAATGGCAAAGGAATGACAGCAATGACTTTAACCAAAGCATTGTACTTGGAGAAATCAAACAGCTGTTGGGCAGACCAGGCATGAAAGGAAACCGTAGCGTTTTCTTCTTTAACATTGGCATCCACTACTCCATGTCACTTAACCTGACGACATATCAAAGGTTGATCGACAATGTAATCAAGATGTTAAAACAAGGCAGTGGTACAGAGGACGAAAATAGAACGCAAAGCAGCGAGACTCTTTCCATCTGGAGAAGCAGCACGGCTATTGAAGCTGAAAATTTTGGAAAGACCTTTTGGGGAGAAAACTTGACAGAGTGGAGATTCCATAACAACCCGGTAAGTCAAGAGCTACCGGAAAAAGGTCTGCCATAGACTTGCGCTTATAAACCCTGAGCTTATGCATCTCTTCCTAAGGGTTTTAAGGGGGGCTTATAAACGGAGGGGTTATATCCTAGGGGGCTTTTAACCAGAAAAGAAAAACCGCTTAAAAACAAGCCGGTTATAGCAGTGCTGATCAAAATACGTTTTGCAGTTAATGGTTTTTAATTAAGTTTTAAAACCTCACTGCTAAATCAAATCCATTTCAATACATTTGGGGTGGGGCTAATATACGGGGGTTGCTTATAATCGGATGTGTTTTTTTGGCTTACGGGTAGATAGGTGTATAACTTTCGGGGGGCATATATAAGTGGGGGAGCTTATAAGTAGCAGTTTACGTAACTTTTGACGCGTATTTTCCGAGACGTTTCTTGGAAAATCGAGCTCGAGAAAAAAGAAGTCGCGTCATCATGACGTCATTTCCAATTTCCATGGTCTATTTAATAACAATATTTCATGGTCTGATAGACCCTAGTTCTCGGCAGATCAGAGCGTGAACAGTCTAATACAGGTTGACTTTGTAGCCAGAAACATTCACGTGGCCAAAGCTGATCTAAATCAGTTTCATCGTGGTTGGTTATGACCTCTATCAAATCAGCCTTGCGCGATGTTTTTAGCTTCTCTTCTGGTATACGGTAATTGAAAGAAATAAGGTCGAGTTAGTTAGCTAGTTACTCAGGTATTTAGTTGGTTAGTTAGTTAGTTAGTTAATTACTTAGTTACTTAGTAACTAAGGGAAGGAACCCCAAGCCCTACCAATTCACCAATTACAATGCACAACTGTAGTTTTTTCTTTAAAGAATGTTTAAACATTAACAGAGTTTTATTCAAAATAGCCACGGCCTGTGTATTGCATATGTGACAAAGAGGGGCTCTCTACTCGCTGCCTTTGCTTCAGTATATCCGGCCACATAAATCTCACTATTTTCTTTTATTTTAAAGAGAGTTCAGCTCTTCAATACCTACGCCACAAGCGCCATGTGCAAGGCAGGGATTCCAGTTCTTGATATGTATCCGCTGACCGCTGCATGGCCAAAAGGGACACGGGATTCCATTCACTACACCGATGAGCCTATGGAGCCTGCCGTTAGCATTTTGCAGCGTTACCTTGTGGAAAAGTTACTAAAAACTTGACGTTTGGAGTCTTTGCTGTAATATGAAAATGAAAGATTTTGTTATTTCTCATAACCTTTTCTCTTGTTGATGTATGGATAATGTTGAGAGATAATTGATGTTCGTCACTCTTAAAAACTTTAAGGGTTAAAAATGAAATGACGACCACTGTTTTCACTTTAATAGGCCGATTTAGCAATACAACGAGAACGTCAGTTGACGACGGCGCACGCAAACAAACAACTGGCTTGACCAATGGCAGAGTGGCAAATTGGGCACCGGAATTCGAGTTTAGTCTTTTCCGCGCGCTTTCTCATCGTCAAATGACGTTCCCATTCTGTTACTAAATCAGCAATCGTCACGAGGATCATGTTAGATTCCATGTTGCCGTGCGTCTGTTCAGTAACAGATCATAGATGACGTCAAAATGTGGTAAAAACAAAGAAGTGGCACACGAGCCGCAGGCGAGTGCGTCACTGATAGGCAACATGGAATCTATTTGCTTTATACAGTGATCAGAAAAGAAAAAAGACTGATACACAGACCTGTCTCGTACCTCTTGATCATTCAAGGATATAGGCTAGTTCAGGCATTTTTTTAAGTCCCAAAAGCTATTTTTTGTCTCTGGTTCTTATTTTGTTTATTCTACTTGTAAACAGTTTTTTCAAAAAGTTTTGCAACGTCTTCACTTGCTAAAAGCAAAGTAATAATGAAGAAAACATTTTGCAAAATCTGTTAGTCTCTCGTAGCGATGACACACGATAACTGTTGTGAAGTTTTCTTAAAGTTCTGATAGGAAATCATGATTTAATTACATAAGCTCAGTAACATCTGTAAACCTGAAGAAGGCTGGTATGGCCAGCCGAAATATTGTTATAAAAAACAATACACGTTGTTTTAAATCAGCTTTGCAGTAGTCTTTGGTTCTCGTTCTTGGTTCTTTATATTTTGGCTGATTAGATCTCATTTCTAGAGATCCAACGTTTACAATTAGCAGGATCTTCGTCCACCGTTTTTGTAAATTAATTTAATGCTTTATTCTTGTAACTTCATTCGGTTGTCATCCCTTTACTCCTCTTGTTGTATTATTAGTAAATACTCTGACAATTTCATTTCAATTGGTTCAACGAACAGACCACGTTTTATCATAAAAATGCCTAATCAAAATTACCGTTTCTAATGAAAGAAGTAAATTTGCACTGAAGTGCCAGTCTGCGAGTGAGCCGTCCTGGGCGCCCCGGGAGAGACTGCCCGCAGGCTAATGAAGTGCTGGAAATCAATAACTATATTAAAAGTTAATATTAAAAGAGGGGGGTAAAGGGGGGGGGGGGGGGTCCTACGCACGAATCACGGACATTAAAAAGTAGAAATAATGCATCACGGGGCTTAAAATTCCGTGTTCACGTTTCACGGAAATTTCCGAAGTAAAAGAACAGTGCATAGAGTTAATGATGAGTTACCACTTAATTGACGTTTAATAGTAGAGTCGATTTTTTGCTTTTTGTGCCTCCCGCACAACTACTGCAGGGAAGTGACGGAAGTCAGGTAAAAATACAATGAAATGTATAGGTGAAGGTAAGCTAATGATGACTAATGCTGACGGATATATAGTACCCAAAAGGAAAGTCATTTGACTCTCCCTTGTCTCAAAGTTGAGTTTGACGGTTCTTCCGCTACGAGTATAGTAACTGCTCGTAGAAAAGTCATTTCAACCTCGTATGTAGTCGTCGTTGTTTACCGTAGAAGCTTTGCTTCATTCTGCAGACTTTTCTAAAGGACAGAGTTTTATTTCAGTCGAGGATCTTATTAGACCACGCTTTTCGGACTCAGATTTCAAACCAGTGTACTCAATGATGCGGCGCGCTTAAGAGCTTCAAGGGAAGAATGCTTACTGTTTATGGGTATTCGAATTCGTTTTTTACCTCCAAGAAAACCCATGGATCCCACAGATTTAGGATCTACATAGTATATTACTCCTTCCAATTTAAAATCTTGTCCCTCTAATTTAAAAACTGCCGGCTAATGCAACCAAGATCCCCACGCAAACCCCACATGTGTTAGCTCCACGAAAATAAGAGTTGAGTTATGATTGGTTGAAAAAAACTGACTCATAAGCTCACGAAAATCGTTCCCCAGCTCGGGATCGCAGACGCCCTTTTCTCGGCGGGTGAAACAAGAGCCAAAAAAGTTGTCTGCTCTCGCAGGCTTGGTGATAGTTTAGGACGACATATATAGGAACGACTGTAAGGGCCGGTTATTTAAAACAAAGCCCAACTGAGGCCGTCGTTTAAGAAATCATTAGGCATCCAGATCTCTTTCTATGTGGGTTATTTTAAACCTTTGGTGACGGCCGGCGAGTAGCGAAAAAACAGCATTTTTCACCAATTCCTCATCCTTGGACTACTTTTCGGCTAATTAGCATAATTATGGCTAAAAACGAGTTTTGCAAGAAAAAAGGCATTTTGTCCGACTAATCTGACGTAATTAAATAGCTTTTTTTCATTCACGCATACGCAAAAGCCAAAACTTGGACTTTTTTTGGCGAATCTATTTCGATCTTTCTCTCTCGCTTTCTTTTTTTCCTTCTTTATTGGCGATTTTGTTGTCCACTTTATCGTCTTTCTTTTGCATGGAATTGTGGCAGGCTAACGTTTTAGGAAAGGGACAAATTTAATTTTCAAGGAGTAGTATGTAAACGGCGAAATTGGCAGTGGAATTTACCCCAAAATTTTACCTTTTTTGTGAGTGTAACTCTGTCAGGGTTAGTCAGAATATCCCAAAACGAGGTATCGCTGGAAAGATCTATCTTTGCTGACGTTGATGCTTACCAGTTTATTAACATCAACTGAAATCTAAATGGTTCAGGGGAAAATTGTATACATTGTACCATATGGGGACGTATACGACCCTAGCCGTCCGAAAAGATTAAGAAAATGATTGTTTCTCTAGTCTACCCTGTTGCTGCCATGAAACGTTCACGATAACCGGTGTTAAGACAAGGAACGTTGAAAAAAAATTGAAAATGGCTTAGAACACGGTTTTGTCAACCACTGGCTAAACTTCGTTTAAATAACCGGCCTTTGAGTTTTTTAAGACCTTTTAGAAAAGTTCATTTGAAGGTCCACTCGCTTCCCTGTAAAATTTGTCTTGAGTTGAGACTATTTTCACGAAAAAATTAGTTGAAAATCACGAATATTGGGAAAAAGATTTTATTTTTCACGTATCACGTCAAGCAAACCAGTCACAGTTCACGTGTTTTAATTTCGTATTTTTTCCTTTCGTCTCCCTCGAACAGAGTTCAAGTTGCCGCGATTCTACTGTACTTTCAAAAAGCACAGAAAAATAATTTAAAATTGCAAAAACATTAAATCAGAAACCTTGTAAACTGGGTGAAAGAATTTGTCTGGAAGCACAGGCTTTTGAAGTGCGCGAACTGGGCTTTGTACACTCAGTGATTGTAGAGCTAGAACTGCAGATTTAAACGACCTACGCCACCAGGTTCCCTCGTTGTGAGGCACCCGTGTAGGCTTGATCATTTTCGTCGTCACGGCCATCTTCTATCACAAGGTAAAAATAACGAGGATTTCACCAGTACAGCACCGGCAGTAAAAAGAATGCGAGTTGATTTACAGTCACCATGGGACCTCTGTTCAGGGAACATCCTCGGGACCGAGAAAAATGTCCCCTGAATAGAGGTGTCCCCTGAAAAGTTATTTTACCTCTGGATCTGTTGCAGTCATTATTTGAAGCAAATTATACGATTAATGTTTCTCTGCGATATTGTCTGTTGATTTTCTATGTTCTGAAAGCTATAATTATTGTAATCTGTGTACTCTTAAATCTATCAAGCAACCCTCTTTTTGGTAAGTCACGTTTTAAATACTAAAGTGTGCCCTGAATGGAGGTTAAACCTGGGTTTCGGGACACAGAAAAAGTGTCCCTTTCCCCTAAATATAAAGGTGTCCCTTCATTAGAGATAAAAGATACAAAGATTATGTGAACATTTTTCCTGGACTTGTGTCCTCTGAATGGAGGTGTGTGTCCCTTAAACAGAGGTGAGCCAAAGGAGAGGTTTCACTGTAATTAAGTTAGGTGCCCTTGGCGCTGCGTGTCTGATCTGCTGATAGATAAAGTTCTTCACTGCAGATCGATTATAATGAACCTTAGAAACGGGATCCAGGAAGAAAACCTCTAATGGCGTCGCATTGATACTTGAACAATTAACTCGAGTCAAAGAGAGATTTCATAGAGTCATTTTTAAGAAATAAGAGGGATTAAGAATCTCGTTTACGGAAAACGTTTAACGTTTTTCCCTTTTCTAAAAGAGGCCTGGCCTCTACTCTTAGAGAAGTGTAAAACTGTTCGTAAAATCCACACAAAATAAGGATTGTTTTGTTCCAAGTAGAAATGACAGAAACATGTACATAAATCGAAAATTTTCAAGGAAATGAAAGTAATTAAGATTACTCAATAAATTTTGTAAAACGTTCGCTGGAAGAAAGAAGCGTAGGGGTGGATTGCCACTGTCGTCTAATTTTTACGTACTTAACTACGCGCGTAAGAGCTACGTGTGTAGATAAAATAGAGTTAAAGTATGACAGGTCGCACGTAAACGTCGTAATCAACTTTTACGTTTACATTCGACCTTTCATACATTGCCTCTATTTCACTTGAGCGCTTCAAATTTACTTGTGTACCCACGTAAAAAATACGCGATTATGGAAATCCACCTTAACAAACGACGACCGTTTGTTGTGTTCGATAATAACACACTCTCACCGACCAATGCACTTCGCACAGACCAACGAGCTAGGTTATGCCTCTAATTACATTTGTTAAAGCATATGTCAGTCGAAGAATTAAATGTAACTGCTGCTTTATAGTAGTCATAACTGTTGAAAACGTTTAGAAAGAAAACTTTCTAAGGCAAGGACTGCAGGCTCAATTACGTCATCACTATAATGGATATGATCCCGGGTGCCTTGCGGCCAGGTAGCGGTCAGCGGATACATATCAAGAACAGGAATTCCAGCCATGCACATTGCCCAAGTGGCAAATTTATTAAACAGCTGCACTCTCTGCAAGAACAAGAAAGAAAAATATATACCGGTAAATGGAGCACTGCACTTGTAAACAGCGTTAGTTTCGACATCACAATACAGGAAAAACGCTTAACCTGATTCCGCTAATAAAATGACGTATCGAAAGATATCTTGAGGTTTCTATACGTTTGTTTTTTTGTTTCAACCTTTTGTTTACTCCTTGCGACTGGCCAGAGTGATCTTTTGATGTTGGTTTTGAAATAATTGAGTGAAAACCCCTTTAACTACTCTCTACAAAATAAATATATAAATAAAAGAACAGTTATCTGAAACCTGAAGAGGGAGTTACGAACCGATCAACTTTTAGCTGCACGCACGTTCAGTTTACTATCCTCAAAGTTAAGCAAGTATGAAGACAATATGAATATTTTAATGCAATTTTTTATCTCCTTCCTTTTCAGTACAAGAGGAGCGAAAATGACCGATATTGGGAGGAAAGTTAAACTACCATCCTACTTTTTTAAAGCACTTGGTGAATGAAAAAATGGAAACTACCGGGCTTGTGTGAAATCTCCATTTAGTTAAGTTGTCGCCTGCATACAGCTTCTTTAAATGTTCTCTCTCAATTGCTGTACTACTCCTCCAGATCTGTGACGCTTCACTGCCCAGGCTATCCCGCTTTAGCAAAGTAATCAGGGATTGTATCAACCTACGATAGGTCGTGAAGTTAAGCACCAGTGAATAATGAATACCAACGTTGAAGAAGAACACGCTATGATTTCCAGTCATCTCAGGTCTTGTAAGGATTTGCTTGATCTCTTCAAGGATAATAGTTTGGTTGAAATCCTTACCATCGTCTCCTCTCCACTCAGCCTTAAATTAGGCGAAATATAATATCAAAATATAATTTAATATCTAACAAAGACTTCAGAGATTTAATCCCTCAGTATTGAGAGGGATAACGGGTACACGCACTTAATTTTGTCCGTCAATTAGCCTGGGTAGTTGGCGTTTTTTTTTTTTTTTTTGGTGTTTTTTCTTTTGTGGTCCCATATTAAAAATAAGAGATACAGCCGCGCCGCGAAAGTTGAGCCGAGATCGAACTAGAAAACGGTAGGAGAGGGAGCTAAGGGAGGCAATACCTTCATTCTACATATATTTCGTTTAAGACCCTGGGTATTTGTCTGGTCCAGAAAAAGAACCCGCGACCTCCCCAAGACACGTCAAGCCTTCTTGCCAGACAGGTTTTGGACAGACTGGTTATGGATGTAAACACAGCCCAGGAATATGATTCGGTCTCTGAAAGTTGCCTTTATAATAATTGCATTTGCGTTAACTGCCTCAAAGGTATAACACTTGTCTACTGTATGTTTTGAAACTCACATCGTAAATCCACATGTATTTATTATTACATTCAAGAAACATCTCTTTGCAAAGTGGACTCGACTTGGCAAGTTTATGATAGTGAACACCCATGGAATCTCCATAAACACAGAACGTCTGGAGTTTCTTGCTCATGGTCTGGTAGTGGTACCTCTTGGTCAGATCCTCTGAAGAAGAAAACACGTTATCTTCAGTGATACATACAGTTACTATAATCCAGTACAAAAATTAAAAAATTACAAGTGTTCATGGGTGTCAATGCAGATTTGCCAATTTTCCCATTAGCTTAAAATTCATACTCATCGTCGGAAGGGTACTGAACACATGGGAGTTGAGAACTCGTTTAAAAAAAAATAGCCTGCTGAGGAAACAATGTGTGGAAGAGTTGCATTGTATGAAGAGCACGTCATTTTATTTTTAGTTTGCATCTATCTAGCAGAGATTGTAAATGAAAGTTAGTGACCTTCAGGGATGTATAGATTCCATTTCCTTTTGATCCATCGTCCAAAGCCATCCCACAGCAAAGAACAATCGACGTTGCACGATAATTCTGATAAAGTTGTGTCACCAGATCCTTTTCTTAACCGTTGATTGTACCTGTAGAAGCCTGTTGAGTTGGCAAACATGAACGATGACAGCTATCCAAACAAACGCAGTAGGAGCAGAAGCTTTCACAATAAATTTAAAACACTTAAAAATGATTCTCTTCTGTTCGGTTCTTTTCATTTTTGGGAACACTTTCGGTAATGGATGGCAGGACGCCAACCCCTTTCTTTTCAAGCTTTGCTTATTTTCATATCACTTAGTTAATCCACATTTGAAAGAATTATCTCAAACCAGCGTCTATCCATGAAGAAAATTCATTGACCGTAAAGTTGTCATGACGATCGACATTTCAGCAGCGTCAACCTTTTACAAACTACTCTATTGATTAAGAGACCGTATTCATGATATCCACCATCTTTGCACGCGCTTTAGTATTGATGTGATAAAAGTAATGTCACGTGGTATTTCAGAGGCAAAAAAATGATAACACTTGCCAATAAGAGTGATCGCGGTAGAATTTTTTAATTCTTTAAAAACGAGACTTCGATTTTTCAGTCTTGAAAAATATACAGTTCGAGCATGGATAATAGAAAGACTGGTCAGTCTTTCTATTATCCATGGTTCAAGTTTCGATAAGTTTCTCGTCAGTCACCTTCTGTGGGGACATCTACGGTCGCTGCTGTGTCCAAAAAATTATCAATGATGACTTCTAACCATAACTTGCCATTATGATCGTCTTTAAGATAAAAGTTCTTCAATATATTTATGTTGTCATGAATAAACAATCTCGACAGCAATTTCTTGCATTGGTAAACTTTATCACGTGTTTGCCCCCTTTGAAAAACCAGTACGCTTTTATCCTATCAGTCCTTAAGAGAGTGCAAAGATGACAGGAAGCTTGATTGAGGTCTGGTAGGCTTAACGCCGTTACAGAAAGTACCAAAAAAGTCCTTAAAATATTCATGGAGCCCCAAAATTCCCCCCCCCCCCCCCCCCAGCACAACTTTACAATGGTCCACGCCTTAGCTGATCAGAGCCTACTATTGAATTCCACGATAAAAACTTTATTGCAGAGCTAAAAGTTAAATCTAGTGACTCAGTTACTGACATGCCTAATTTCAGGCTATTGATTTCTCCTGTCCGATTCTTTGGCAAAAAAAAAAAGGAAACACAAAAAACAACAACAATAACGGCAAACGAACAAACAAACAAGCAAAATTTATTCTTACCCTTTGTTTTATCTGATTCCTTGATATAAATATTTATAGACTTTCCACTTTGCAATGGTGAGTTAATGTAATCGATACTGATATCTCCAAGAATACCATGCTCTTGCTCATAGCCATGAATATTACCTACAGAATAACAACAAAGTTAATTTATTATAATAACCGAGTTACTTTCTTGGTATTATTTGATAATAACTGAATTGGAACAATTTTGTTTCTATTTTTGCACTGAGTACAAAAATAGGACCAAATAGGACCTCGAAATAGTTGTCCGATGTAAAGGCACGGAAAAACGGGCAGCAAAAAACGTGCAACTTGTCTTGCAACATTGCTACAAAACGAGCAGAATAGCGATTGTTACAAAAAGGACAAAGCTATCGGGTGGTTAAAACTGTATCCTCTGGATAGCGCAATTTTTTCCCTAATACTTGTCCGCTGGATGGTGATTGGTGCAGTAGATAGCGCCATTCAGCATTTGAAAAACTGCGGCAAAACGTAATTTCGACGTCATAACAGGAAGACTTACAACTGATTAGTAGTCCATTTTCGACCTTGACGCCTTTTAAATCGTCATACCTTCAATTCCTCGCTAACAGCTAGGGCAAACTCATCAAGCAGTCTTTTGTAATTCGTCTGAGCAGCGTTTTGTGCATCTTCAAGGGTCCAAGGACATGCAGCTAAAATGTACCTAGCATCAATCAATTTTTGCCTAATTTTTGCCCGATTCACCACTAAGTTACCTTTGATAAACCAATCCTCCGGTGGGTCTCTGAAACCATCACAGAGAGTGTAGTCAAGGAATACCTGGGCTGAGTAGTTCCCAGGCTCCAGCGCAAGGAACATGACCTCATATGTTCCATCATCATTGTCTGTTACCATAGGCGCAAGGGATGCTGGACCTTGTCTAATGTACACCCTCCATGAATCGCCTCCAGTTCTCTTGAGGTTTCCATCGCTGGTCACAGACTGGATAAAGAAACGGTTGAATTCCCCTGACGTGAACGAAAAAATAATAAATATTAATAGAATAGTAATGATATAAATGATGATAACGAGAACGATAATGATAATGATGATAACAATGATAATGATGATGATGATGATGATGATGATGATGATGATGAGTTCCAATCACTGCCATTAAAACTGGTTGGCCAGAATGAGGTTTCTCACTAGAAGTTTTGGTCTAGAAATAAGCCGAGAAGCTCCCAGAATAGGGAGTCAGATGGTTGGGTTTCTTGGTCGAAAGTTGAGTGCGTCTTATGTAGCTAATTTAATGTAAAAAGCTAATTATAATGTCCATAACCACATAGATTCCCACATAGAATAATTAACAATTATTCCTCGAGCTCAAATGGGCTCTGAGTCAATAGCCCATGAGGTCGAAGGCCGAAAGGCCTATTGACTCAGAGGCCATGAGGACGAGAGGAATAATTGTTTTAGTAAAATCCAACTAGTTGGTCAAAAATATGGAGACAAAACAGCTTTAGCTAGCAAAACGCGATTCAGCCGCCATTGTTTTGGTTTTCAAAGCCGGCGCTTTCGGCTACTAGTGGGCTATAACCTATAACCTGGTAGTAGCTCAACCAATCAGAACGCAGCATTGATAATAGAGCACTAGTTGGATTTTACTAAAATTGTAAATCCTCTGCAGGAATACAATGCAGTGAAAAACTTACGTCAGTTATACCACGTTGTAACAAAATCTGTCTGGTATGTATGGCTCATGTAGCTAATATTAGAGAGTTTTAGATCCGAGTTCACCGCAAACCTCTAACCGCTGGAGGTCACGTGACAAGTCTTTCGCGTCACGTTTGAGGTTTACGACGTGCGTTTTCAACGTGGGGGGATAGGTTTTCACGTATGTCATTTACCTGAAAGATTTTAGCGTATAAATCTTGTTTTATCCCACGTAATGATACAAAAATCTTGTGGAGCAAGTCTTTATCCATTAACAAAGGCACAAAGTACGGGCGAAATGCTAAATTTGATAAATCCTATTGGATCTTGAAAACAAGTGCCAATCATGGTTGCTGGTTCAGGATGGCGACCGTAAAATTGCAAGAAGAACTAATGTAAGAATTTACAGCTCTTTTCTGCTAGATAACCCAGTGTTACCGTAAATTTCTTTTATTTTCACTGACTGATTTTTCTTCTATTTCTAAGTGGAAAAATAAAGCAGAATCCACTTCTTTAATCCACCACCAATCTAAATCGAATTATGTTTGAACGTTGAACCGCAAACGGGTAACGGCAAACCGCGGTTAGAGGTTCGCGGTAAACTCGGATCTAAAACTCTCTATTATCACAAATGATACGATATCACGATTTGACTAACTTTTACCAGTGAGAGAAAAATAAAAAATTAAACACAGGACTAATTAATTATTAACCTTGAGGTTTTATTTCCAATCTGGAAATAAAACTTTTCTTTGCATCAGTTCGGTTTGTAAAGTTCATTTCTCTGTCTTTCCATGCCATCTTATGGCGGCAGCTCGAAACTAATCCTTCCCAGTCCACGCGCGATCTTTGAAGACGGCACCAGTCAGAGAGAAAAATTTTATCGTCACGTGGCATTCGATAAGTACTAGCATCGCTATGGTAAGACCTAGTGGTCGGATGTTTATAGTTGAAGTATTGGTGCACAATTATTACTACAGAAACAATCAAGCAAAAGCAGTGAAAAAGCTTTTGCTTTCTTGATGTTATCATCTGTTTCTATACAACCTGAAATTAGAGAGGGAATCGAAAGGAAAATTAATATCGTGCTTCAGTTAAATGAGAGTCAGACGACATAAGTCGGGTTGGTTTTAGCAGCTTACAACTAAACACAAAGATTCACTTCACACGACCGTCTCTTTTATAATAAACCTAAATTTACAAAGCAGCCGAGTTTGAACTCTATACACAAAGTATTCACAGATGGCGCGCTTTGCTTACTCTATATTTGCAATTTCAGCAACTTAATAGGGTTTTCTAATATTAGTTCCATGTGACATACAGTCAGCTTGCCTCTTATTTCTTAGCAACCAAATTAATTTGCTTCTTTCATGCGTTACATTGACTTTGAAGCTTTTAGTTCATGATAATCACTGGTAAAATTAAAGTGAAGAGACTCTTTTATCTTGAATGATTTGTTTTGTCGTTTCAGATCATGTGATGTTACCCATGATGTTTTCTGGGCTGCTTGCCATTTACATGGAAAATCAAAATGGCTCGCACCATTCTGCTTCATAAAATATGGGCTGTGATTTGAGGTGATGCGATTTTTCTACTCTCTTTAGTCTGTTTAGGAATATAATGGGTCGTTCCCATCACATTAAACAGTTAAATTTTGTAATTTAATTTTTATGAACTAGATATCCACCCGATTGGTTTATGTAAATGGTAAGCACCCCAGGCTTTCAAATGTTGTTCCTGTCCATCCACCCGGGTGTATTAATTTGTATCCATAATTCATGAAAAAGGTAAAAAGAATCCCTTCAGAAAATCACGTGATATGACTTGGTAAAACAAAATATACAAAAGAATTAAAAAGCTTATCCGATTCTCACAGCATCTTTAAGTCTAACAGTGTTCACTCAACTTGAATGACCCAGAATCTTTTGGCTTCGTTCGCCGAAGATGACCGAAGATGAACTTCGATTCATACCTAAAACACCACACTCAAGTCTAATATATGCTGCGGTAAGATATTTGAATTATATGTCAATCAAACGTCAAGCTAATTGCTATATCCATTTAATATTTCCCGTTTCCAACAATACAGCATTAAAGTTAATAGCAGGCTCACTTATTCCAACTCGGGAAAATGTTTGGAGGCGGGACCGTCATCCAGCGAGCACTTTTCCCCGAGTTCTCCTCGCGCGATTGCGGCCCCGCTGCCAAAAAAGTTTCCCCCACGTCGCACAAGTGAGCCTGCTAGCAAGCTAAGCTTTTAGAGAAACTAAGAGAAACTAGCAAAGAGCCAATTAAACGCCAGATATCATGCTTCGAGTTCTCAGATAGAAGAAACTTAAACCGTGTTTTCAGTCGTCTGATTCATTTGAAAAAAATGGGCTCTAACGCTCTTAACTCACCTAATATTCAGATATGTTGTTGTTTTTGCTTTGACAGGAGGATAAATGGCGGCTCAGCAATAATCCTATGAAAAAATGAACAAAAGTACTCGAGTCGAGACCCGAGTCTCACCTGATGCAGTGCTGATAAACGCGAGAAAATTAGGTTTTTTAATGTTGGAAATAAGATATCCTGGCCTTTGCAACAAAAATTGTTGACGTAACTTTTATTCAAACATTGTTGCGAATCTCTCGTCATCTCCCTGGCCAACAATTGTCTTCTATTTTCAGGCAACATATTTGTTACCACCAGCTTTAGATCTTTTACACAACAGCTCTTATTGACACTGACATTTTCATGTTGAATTAGCATTTAAAACGTCTTCAATTGCATGCCCTATCTTAAATATTTAAGCGCGAATTTAACTCTAGTGTAAAACTTGACCCGGTCTAGGATCAAACCGTTCCGACCATTTTCAGAGAACCTGCACCTGTTCTAGAAAAGTTATTTCCCTTCATAACAACGCCTAGTCGTTTTTGTTTACCTTTTTCAGAGAAAATCCTTGAAGGTACACAAAGCTCAATTGCATTTCTACCATTTTTAGCTCGCCAACAGAAACGTCCCATTGCCGGGCTTATCAAGTCACAATTTTGGAACAAAAAAAGAAAAGCGCACAGCCAGGGAACCCAACAAAACCACAGCAGCACAGGTTGTCATCTTCGATTTTTGCCGCCTTTCACATACAACCAATCCCCTTAGTCCTCGTCTTGAGTCGCAAAAATCTCTTGAGAAAGACGCCGCCTTTCTCTGGAGTTTACGACTGGAGAGGACGGCTGAAATTCAGGGTTCAATCTCTTCTACAAAGTATGGTTTTGAGTCGTTTCCAGCCAATCGCTAATCTCCTGCTCAAGTCAGGGATGTCCATACACCGAGTCCTTCACAGATTCGTGGCAAGTAAATGGTTTTATTGTCATTCTTTTCAATCTGTCATTTACAAAATGTTATTTTGAAGCACTGTAATATCGTTCATTGAACTCTGTCATGACATTAGTTTTATTCCTTCAAATTGCTTTGCTTTTTGGAATGGCAATGACAACTCCTAGAAGGTCAAAACAAACAAACGAACAAATAAACAAAAAAACATCTCTAGAAAACTGTTTTTTAAAGTTCTCATATTGGCGCAAAATGTATGAAAAGACAGGGCAAATTCCCTTGAGAACATCATGAACTAGCCTGAATTTCATCCGATTACTTGTTGAGAGGAGAAAACGACTCGAAGCAATCGGATGAATTTCAGGCTAATCATGAACCGCATTGGGAAAACAATTGAACCATTGTACAACCAAAGAACTACAACCACAATCCAAAGCCTTAGTGTAGGCTTACATTCCATGAGTTTTTATTTATTTCCGAATTCATTAGTGTTTGCTGATTTATTACAGTTAAGGTATTCCGATTTACAAGCGTTTACACACATTAATGAATTCAAGAACATTCATTCGGATACAAACTACCTGGTTAAGATTCCGGATTCAAAGTTCCACTCACCTGTGTGTAAGCGGCAAAACGAGTCCGATACCAAAATGTTTCAGAATAACCGCGAATCGGGCAAAATCTCCTCTAGAGCTTAAAAGGTGCTATCTTGCGATATTTTCTAAAACGTGTCTTCACGTCAACTGAGTCCTAAACTGTTTCTGTTTTTTGTTTTTACGGATGGCATAGACCTAAAATAGCAATATCCCTCTGTCGTAGCTCCTTTAATTGCAATCGGGCTATAGCTGTACACTGATGTTGTTTGCATTCATTCAGGTGATACGCATTTAAGATTTTCCTTTGGAAATTTCTTCTTTTATCTCTTGATTAGAAAGTAAACCAATATTAACAATGGCAAGGAAACAACCTAGCATGCGGTCCCTGCTTTTGGCGGATCGTTTCTCTCAAGAGCTGTTGCTTTCGGGTTTAACAACAAACATCCATTTATAATCTGACTTTAGGAGGAAGGAAAGTTCACAGTAGAAGGGTAGAACTTGAGCGGGTGGAGACGGAGAGAAAAAGTCATTAATGTGATTACAAGAAGGAGTTCTATTTTTCATTAAACTCTTACACCGCTTTTTCGTCCCAAATACTTCGTCTATAATTTTATTTCGAACAAATAAGCCTCCTTTCCTTGTGAACGTATTTGTTGGTCTTAAGCCTTGTACCTAACCTGAGATCAGGCTCAATTTTCGTTTCGCTTTGTAAATAACATTCCGAATGGCAAGGCGAAACGAAAAGAGAACTTTTAGCGGTAGCCGTTAGAGAGAATGTACGAGAACCGCTAACATTGGGCCTGATATCATGTTACCTTGTACCCAGATCTCACTGGCGTCCGGCAGTCTGTAGGTCCGACCGTGGGAGATTTGGGTGCAAGATCACTTGAATACAGTAGAGAATGCAAATATTGTAAATTATTACTTTAACCGATGGAGAGTTACAATTCATTGAACGTTTTCGCGGAGACTGCAATAGTATTCATACTCCACTTCTTATTTACTCAATTCCACAAATCAGTCTCTCGATGTCGCAAAAGACAACGTTAAATTGGTCTTATCATATTTTTTGGCCTGTCAATAGTTGATCAACTTCAAAGTACAGTGTATCTTCCTCGATTATAGTTTAGTAAAATTCCATTTCCTTTACCGCTCCATTACGTCCAATTTAATTTGATAGAAGACGTAAGGATAATACTCTTGCTGTGACAAACTGAGTCCCGGAATGTCAAGAGTCTGTAAGAAAATGAACAGGTTAAGAATTAAAGAACACGCCAAAATCACAGCTATTACATTGAGCCGGTTTAATGTGACCTGATAGAGCAAAGGGTGGCGCAGTGGTGAGAGCACTTGTCTCCCACCGATGTGGCCCGGGTTCAAATCCCGCTGTCGTCGCCATATATGGGTGGAGGTTGTTGTTGGTTCTTTTCCTTACTCTGCGAGGTCTTGTTTTTTTTTGGAGAGGCGGGGGGGGGTGGGGAAGGGGGGTGGGGGGTACTCCGTTTTACTCCTCTCCTCAAAAACCAACACATACAAATTACATCCAATTCGATCTGGAACGCACTAGTTATTAAGACCTGCTAAGTGGTGCGCGGGTAAAAAGCTACGATACAATTTAAATAAAAATTACAATTACAAGAAGTAGCACATACCTGTGTGTCGTACATTGATGAACTGAAGCCTTGATTATCAAGATGCTGATAACATGAGTCTAACATGTCCTTTATCTTCTTGTGTGTTTTCTTAGAAGGCTGCGAAAGTAAAGGAAATTGAATTAAACTGTCAAGCTTCGATACAGGACACGCATGACATGAAGTCCAACACGAAGCTATCCTTTTACAAAATGGCTAAGGCTAGGAAATTATGGCACTCGGAAGAGCTAATGCTCTACTCCACAAACTGTCAGGCGAATGGGTACCAGCTTTCGGCGCAACGATTTGTGGGATGGTTCGGGTGGACTAGCATTACTTATGATTGGTTAATGGTTGCCTAGAAATACCATCGACCAATCATAACTAACGCTTGCCAATTCAAACGATCCCACAAATCACTGCACCCAAAGCTTGTACCCTTTCTTCCTAGAGTTTCCGAGATTTGCACATTGCTTGAAATATTGCTCTAAGCATCATAAAAGATTTCTACGTGAAATATAAGGCCTTTCCTCAGTGTCCCAGCTGTAATACAGTAATTCTTGCAAATCTATGTCAAAAAATGTTTCCGAGAGATTCGCACACCAGTTATATTTATAAGACAAAAATACCTGCAGAAGCATGGCCTGGAAATTAACAGGTAATCCATATCTAAAATAAAGAAGAAATCAAACAGAGGATTAAGCGCATATATGTGACGATAAAGTACAGGAGATCACATTTTTTTGTGTAAAACCTGGCCTGACCAACACAAAAAAAAGTACTTTGAGTTTCACTGCATTGTTTTTACAACGAAAGAGCTAATCGAGGACACGTGCCACGCTAGGGTCTACCCGTTTGCAAGGCAAATGCAGTATCTTCATTTCTCAGTTATTTTAAGAACCCTCCCCCTCCTTTCCCCTCCTCGAAGCCACGACCTCCCGCTCTAACGACTGAGCTAATGCTGCGGTGGTAAAGTCAACATACAATCCTCGACATCCCACTCACCCGTCCCAGACTCTTCCCATAAAGAACGATACAATTTGAATTAATAACGATGGCCCCGATTAAAACCGCCAAGGTAAAATGGGCTGCTGCTCCAGGATACGAATCTTTCTAAAGTTAACCGGTTTCACACTTAGCTCACCTGAGAACAGACTCCACAAATACACGAAGAGCCTGAAAAAGGTAACAAAGAAAAGACTGATTTTAAAATAAAAGGCAACTGTGATCAACTGCATACAGGACCAACAGTAGATCCTTGATCAACTGGAGATTATTTTGACGCGAATAGTGAAGAAAGGAATGGACGAAAATAGACCTAAAGAGGGTACTCGCTTATCTCTGGTGATATATAACTTCGAAACTTGTTACGTCAAGGTCAACTAGCACTTCAGCCATGTTCCGGTTGTCGTTAAGCTAGAACAGAGGCTTCCATGGAGACAAAGCTTACCAAAAATCGAGTTTAAGGGCACTTATCGATTATGAAGGAAAACTGGAAAATCATATGGCTCGGGCCATACTGTGTCCGTTGGTGATGCAGTTTTTCTCTTCTTTTTGGTCTGACCAGCTGAGAGCGGAGGCTATTTTCCCACAAGGTCAAATTCGATTGACAAAATAATGACTATGCAAGACATTTTCAACCGGATGGTTTGTGTAAAAATGGTAAGCAACGTCAGATTAGAGATTGAGGACCTACAACCTTGGACAGAATAAATGGAACAGCAAACCCCCACCCCACCCCACCCTCCTTCAAAATCAAGGATGAAGCCGCGCGAAGGGCAAAAACGCGCCATTTTCCCATTTTTGATTTGGGGGGAGGGGTGGAGTTCTAGGTTTTCCATTTGTTTGTCCAAGATTGTAGCCTGACCGCCAGGCTCCGCTATTGCACTATCCACTGGATAAATCACAATCCACCTGATGAGTATTAGAGAAAACAATTGCGTTATCCAATGGATAGCCTACGAGCAAGCTTACTTGTGCGACGTCGGGGAAATTTTGAGGGTGGAGCCGGGGCTCCGCCGCCAAAATTTTCCGCGAATTCTCACAAGTAAGCCTGCTCGCAGGCGGGCTATCCAGTGTACAGTGTTGTCCTCGTTTCGAACGACTAAGGACATACGTTTTTGTTTTCTCGCACACCAAAGGGCACGGTACGGGTAAAAAGAGAACTGGAAACAGCGCGAGGATTTTCCTCCAAAGTTTTTACAACTGTGAAAATTATCCCAGCGTTGGTGCGTGCAAACGTAATTACCTTAACGTGAATCCATGCGATGAAAGCGTCACTGAAGTTCACTCTCAGCCACCTCACAAGAGGACCCTTACAAGGAAGATAACAGAGCGGTCATCGCTTAAGCAAACTAAAGCAAGTATAAACTTGCTTTACCACAACAGATCCTTGCAATGTAATGAAATGAACAGAGCTCGAACACCGTACACAGTGCCTAGCGTAGGATAAATCGTCCAAAACTGTCCAAACAATTTACGAATGGTATCATGATTGTTGGAAAGTTTTAGCCAAATCGCAAACTGTACATAGAGTACATTTTACTACGCAGTCGGAAAATTCGCAAATACACCACAGCACGGGACGAAGAGAGTGAACTTACAAATTGCTTCTTTTTGTCCGATTCCAGTTTAGTGATTTCGTTTTTTCCTGCTTCAAGCGCCTGTTCATCATACACAAATTCACGTACTAAAAACCTGAAAAATGAAATTACAAAATAAATAAAGTGAGAGAGACTGAGTCAATACTGCCTGAAAGTGATCATAACCATGCAACTATCCAGACTCAGTAGTGCGTGTACACGTACTTTTAATCAATCAATGCATGCATTGCCAAACGATAATGTTAATAATGTTCGATCTTCAAAGACAGGATGGGATTGCCGATATAGACAGCCTTATCAAGGAAAGCTAAAAAAAGGACCATGTTAATCCAATGTAATGCAATTTTTATTTATTTACTAATTTACAAATTTATTTATTCGTATTATTATTCTAGTCATCTCTTTTTCCTCGTGAACTGTAAATCTTTTTCATTTCCCTTTGAAATGTCTTAAAATGTATCAGTTCATGTATGTAGCGTCCACACACTGCCTGCCTCGAATACTGAGCTTTAGCGAAATGTAGGTAGTGTGTATGTGTTTTGTATTTCTTTGCTATTAATAACGCTGTTTGTAGTTTTTGTTATTTAAAAGGCCTCGTCCACACGTGTCCGGGTATCTTTAAATCAAAGAAAGACTATCGTCAACTCGTGGGTACGTTGTTTAGAAAATAATCAATTGGTTATCACCTCTGGTTTTCCCACAGTGAATTTTAGGAAATGATAGAAATTCATATTATAAATATACTATCCTTGTTCTGGAAACACAATACTTTTCTTGCTGTTTATTGCACTTTAGTAACAGTTATTTAAGTATATATTTAAAAACAAAACAAAAAAAACAGCAAAACAAAAAAGAAAAAAAAAAGGAAGAAGGGAAAAAGAAAGTCTGTAGCAGGATTTGAACCCGGTACCTTCGGTGAGACCCGACCTCACTTAGCCACTACGCCATTGAGGAAGTCACATGATAAACAATCAAATTTAATGCACGTTATATGGAACTTCCGCCGGCAAACGACCGGGCAAACAAACGAGCCATAAAAACGACTCGAAGGAATGGGATGAAATTAAGGCTAATTGAAACCAGGCTACTGACAGTAAAAAACAATGTAAACGCATTTCATAGCAATGAAAGAACATATGCGATACAAAGCCGACACAACTCCTCCGCGAAGTAGGACGCAAAACATTAGCTTATGTTTTCTTATGTCGACATCCGCTGTTATTTTAAAAAGGTAATGCTCAAACTCACATCCATTTCCCCCCGTGATCTTGGGGAGTCCTTAAGAAGAAGAAGAAGAAGAAGAAGAAGAAGAAGAAGAAGAAGTACCTTTATTTACCATACATTTCACCAGTCCGTAGTTCGCATTCCGTGTTTTATACTGACCGCCATAAATTCATTCATACACATAACCTACTACAGTACTACAAGGTACGAGATCAAGCCAGCGTCGAAGTTGAAGGAGTCGAAGAGCAAATGCTCATCTTCTTGTCAAGTTTAACGCCTGGACGGGTCAAAGGCTTTTGAATCGTACTAATTTGAAAGATTCCTGCCTGTCTTAATTTGGTAAGACCTCTATCCTAACCGTGCTGTAGCGCACGATGCACGTTCGCAGCGAGGAATTTGATGCTACCGAACTTCGGCGAGCGCGTGCTTCTTTGGAAACGATAGATCTTCGCGCTCTCGAGTTCGGACCCGATTAATTACGAAGTGCGTCTACTACGAGTGAGTGAGTGACTCATTTGCATATCTCAGTCCCTGCAATAACTCGTGGTACGCTCGCGCGTACCCACGAGTTAAAAAGGAGACTCTCTCCGTTTTTTGAAAAAAAAAGACGTGACCACACGTAGCGTATTCGAATTGCTTTCGCCCGTCTACAGGAAACTCCTAAAACGATGAAAATACGATTGCACGCCATACAGGGCAAGCGCTCTATGTTCTATGGCTGTAACATACGCCCCTCTGTAACAGACCTGTGAAATCTATCTTCACTGGGTTCTCGGAGAAAACATCATCAGGTTGGCGTATTTTCCACTGGGCTTTTTTTCTTAGTTGTGTGTCTCCCATAAAAGCTAAAACGGGTGGGAGGCCTAACATTTTTACCGGTATGAAACCTTTGAAAACCTTTTACATACACTGTACTGCTCTAGCGAGACGAATGAAAAGATTAACACTTTTTTATGCGAGATCGATTACCTGTACCCGCCGACTTTTTTATCAATGATAATAATGTGAATAATTAATAATAAATAATGTTAATAATAAATAATAATAACGAGGTACACTATTTTTGTACAAGTCACAATAGAAAGTGACCGGGGAAGCAAAACATTAACCGGGTAGAAACAAACTATTCGCCGGGTATCGGGGAGGCAAAATTTTCACATGGGTAGACTGAATGAAGCCACTGGGTAGGGTTTCACGGGGTCTGTTACAGACAAGTGTGCTGTATGAAATCATCGTATTCGAAAAACTCCGATTTTATGCATCCACACGTTAACGACCGATAAGCCGTCGTTTTCAAACATCTCTCTGGAAAGAATTCTTGAAAGGGTGCGTTTTCGGTGACCGTTTACACCGAATGCGTGTGGAAAAAAAATCGTTTTGAACTTGCAACTTACTTCTTGTCTCGTGCATGGAGTTTAAATTCATCCACAACTTTCTTAAACAAGGTAACAGTGAACAAGCCATGTTCGTTGTCCTCGAAAACTAAGCTGTGAAAGAGAACCATAGGAATTACAGAACAAGTCAATCTAGATACAGAAAAATATGGACCAACAAAAACAAGAGTGTTGGGCTATAGGCCAGTAGCACTAAGAGGTCACGTGACCAATGCTTCCTTTAAACAATGCGTTGGAATCTTGCTGATACCAAAAATTGACAGAGCACATAAAAATTATCTTACGCCCGAAATTTGAGAGGGAACGCATTTAAGGGAGATATTTTATGGCACTTTGATTTTTCAACAAAGCAGTATGATTTGTATTGGCCGCCATCTTGGAAGGCATACTCTTGCCCTCCCACATGGCGGCCAAAACTACTTTTTGCTTAAGTCTTGTTAAACGTTTGATAGTTACGCTCAGATGTGCTGTAAACGTTACCACATCATCTTTTCAACATTTCCCTTGAACTTTAAGTGCAAAATTTGTGTTCTGAAAGATGTAATACCTAATTTTACAAATCACATTAATTTTTGGTCACGTGACGAGCTACGAACTTACTCATTTTAAGAAAATGGTACGGGTTTTAAAAACCAAATCACTATTATTTTGTTTAAGATATGACCCACTAATCGTTTTTCGAAGGCAAAATCATATAACTTTCATTTTCATAAACACGATGTCACATGACCTCTTAGTGCTAATGGCCTAATACCCAGGTTTTAATAAGCACTCCTACATTTGTTAAATTTAACATTTTTATGGAACAATAAAGTAATACTCCAACCTCGAGGAATTAGGTACGACCATGTCAGTGAGTTTCCAGTAGTAACTCTTCCAATCATTGTACAGGGCTCTAAAAATCAATATTAAAGAAAAACACTACTTTATATTCAGCGCATTAACAATTAAGGAAAACTAACATACAGTCATGTACAGTATGATATAAATGCAAATTGAAGTAAAAAACATTTCATTCATATAAAGCAAGTCATAAGAAATATGCAGCAAATACACAGCAATAACTAATAAAATTCATTATCCTTAAAATTAATTTTCCACACATTGCTTCTCATGCTGCACACTACAGTGGTGGATCCAGGGGAAGGGCGTGGGCCTCCCATATTTTTAGACCAAAAATAATGAGGCCTAAAGGGCCGAAAAATTACTACTTAAGACCCGGCCCCCCAACCCCCCCATCCCCCTCCCCCCTCACCTCCCGCGCTTATCTCAGGGTCTGGATTACCAGGCCCCCTCTTATCTGAAGGTCTGGAACTCCCACTGCAATCAATCAATCAATCAACTTTGTTTAAACGCGGTAAATGGCTCAGCAAGCTGGTTTTCACACATGCTGTCCAACAATTGCAAGTTATAAAAATTAAATCTAGTGGTTAACTAACAATAATTTAGCACAAGAATTTACAATTTTGTGCTCACGGTGCAATTTTTTTTGCACTATGAGCAGAGCCTTCTTTTGGCTTTTTTTTCCTGATGGAGGAAAACAAAAGGATGCTCTGTACTGTGAAATCACATCAAAGCCTTATTTTCTCTTGCCAAACTGGTTTTTTGAGTGCAAGCAACTGTTTGTTGATAAAACTGATGGTTCTAACTGAGCTGGCTGTACCAAGTACATGGCTATTAGGCCTGGTTTTGAAACCGTATCCTAGCAATGTCTGATTCATTCTCAACAAAGATCTTACTCGATTCATGCCAAGTCTTTCTCGAGTACGAGAAAATCAGGCAATGTAAGAAAGGCTGTTGTTTGAGAGATGAAAATAAAAAGATTTCTGATTACTACTGTATTGATTTTTTTTAATAAACAAGAAAGGTGAGTACTTCAGTACATACTTTGGAACAACAACAAGCTGAGTAGTGAGGTATTCTGAATCCAAAACAAAGTACTCTTTTTTCACCAGATCTCCTAAATTCCTTGTCAAAAGGCTTCCTCTATAAAAGAATATCAAAACAAGCAAGATTGTTTCAGAAGGTTTATTTTGTAGTTAATTTTTTTCTCAGGTAATTTCTGTTTTTCTTTTGTTTTTGGGTATGGTATGGATGCTAATGAAGTTGAAACAAAAGAAAAAATAATTACCTCAGTGAGATAAAAATTAACTACAACATCTACATTGCAGAACCCACACAACAGTAAAATCAACAAAGAAACAACAACAACAACAATATGTAAACAAGCAGAGTAATTTCTGGAAAAAAAGGCATACAGTAGTATTTATCAGTGCTGTCACCAAGGGATAAGGGCCAGGGATTTTCCCTGGCTACAAGCATAATCCCTGATTACCTTATGGGAAACACAAGGAAAACAGAATTCAAACAATATCCTAGCTGTTTAATTCTCTACCTACTTATTGGATATACCCGGTACCATGAAATCTTAGTGACAGCCCTGGGCCAAGTTGTTCAAAGCTGGGTTAAGATAACCCAGGGTCATTTAGTGTGAGATTTGAATTCAGATTTGAAAGCTTAAAAAGCATTTCAGTTTTAATTTTTTTGTCTACAAGTTGATGATTGGAAGCTTTCAAATTAACAGAGAAAATTATCCGAGAAAATTAATGCTTTTGAACACAAGAAAAAGAAACATGGGTTAAGCGCTAATCAGCCTTCGAACAACTGGGCCCTGATTTACATGTATAATTCTCCCATCTTGTACAAGTATATTTTCACTGTACAGAACAGTGCAAACCATGCAACAGGACATGGATTTAGGGGCTGTCACTAAAATATATGTAAGACAAAGTGTCAAGTTGAAGGCTATTATGCAATCAGTGGGCAGGGGATTGAACAGCTAGGAAGTCCACGTGGTTATTTTGTCATTTGTTTGCTATGAAAGTAGCCAAGGAAAATCCCCATAGCTGGCCTTTAGTGGAAGTCTTGTGTGAAGGAAAGGATAATGTCATCATAAATACTGTATCACTCAAATGCATTACTTTTGCATTGCTTTTAACAGTACATGAGGTGTACACTGTACTCACGTAGCTTTTCTTTCCAGAGAGGCTAAGGTCCCTCTGATGGTGTTATAAGCTGATGACTTGCTCTTTAGGTCATGTTCAATCTGTGTTACTTGCTGAAATTAGTAGTCAAATGCAAGGGAAAAAAAAACAACAACCAATGTGTATCAAAATGTATATTCAATGGAAAAACTTAATTTTAGCTAGGTGATTCACAGTAATTTACAGTCTATGTATTAAATAAAAGTAACTTGATTAACACACACCTTACTAATGATCTCAGTCAAATTCCTCAATGACTGCTTTGTAGGATATTTAGCTGAATCCCACTGGAACTTGGTTACATAGTTGGATAATTCCTCTAAACCAATAAAGAAACTGTCACCATAATTTTAACTGTATAATTGTCACACTAGTAATACTACTAGTTGGTAATCAAAAGTAAAAGGACCAAAGTACAGTTTTCACATGCAAAATGTAAACATAATTTATAGGTACAAGACATTCAATTTTATAGCGATTCAGAATGCAAAATATAAGAACAGCGCTCTTAATATCAGCATTAATTAGCCTTGCTTGCTTGGAGATTAGATCAGAAATGAGGGGCGATAATTCTACACAAAACAGGATTTAGTCACTTTTCATATCGTATTCAACGATTTGTTTCTGAATTGATTTAGCAACGACTGGATACACGTCTGCAGTCGCAGGCTATACGCTTGTACAATTACACGAAATTCAAGGCTGGGCATCGATTTGAGAGAAATTACATCATTGCCAGAAATCAAAAACATAATGAGAACATGGCACATCATTCCAATCTTCACCCAAAATAAGCCACATGCTCATCGCAAGACTCATTTGCATACTACAAAAGTTTTCAACACCCTAACAGTTAGCCTTTCCTAATTAAGATTCTTCTCTTTTTTTTGACTACTGAAGTGTTCACTTGTTCCAAAGTTATCAACTCTTTCAAACGATAGAATATGAGGGCAGACCCATTCCGAAAAAGCTCTAAATCACACTAATCTTTCCTAAGCTTTCTTTGCAAAACATGCGTGGCTTCCGTCATGCAACGATTCTTATTACCAGTTTCCACAGTCTACACTAGGAACACCTGGGACCATGGCCTCCCGTTTGTGTCTTAAATTATTAAAAAAATATGAAGAAAAACGGCTTACAAACGCAAGCGAGACTAACAAGGAAATAAAATGATCTGTTGGTGAAAGTGAAAATGAAAACTTCCTGAAGTTTTTCTTGAAATCCCCTTTGAATTAGGCAAATTTCACAACTCTTACATCAAATCCACTAAAAATGCAGAAAGAATACATGTAGTAGAGTTTTCAAGCTGCTTATGAATAACAACAAGAATAGTTTATTCACTTACGCCCATTTGCAAGCAGATTTTCTCTCACTCTGTCCTGAAACAAAAACAAGAAAACTTCATACTGTCCAGGTTCTTCATAATGCCTTAAAAAGAGGGCAATTTTGGTAACCGTACATGTAATTTCAAGACTCTACTTTGCCACAATGTTAAACTTTAAGCTTCATCCCAGAGAATTGAATTTGAATTAAGAACTGATTTAAAATAAAACACAGGTTCATACATTGTTCTGTTACTGCAGTGTAATTACGTTAAATTAATGCACATATCATTCTACGCAAAAGTGTGCCAACTTGCATTCTACAAGTACATCAGACAGATTTCATTTGGATCTGGCTTCAATGAATTTCTGCAGCTTGATGTAGGTTTGAGTGCAGTAAAAGGCCTTTACGTGTTTTGTTATAGAGAAACAACACAACTACATTGTACTCAAAACCTGAATGTCTGAATGTCTTGGCACTGTTGGAGTTCAACGATTCTTACAGCTGGAGAGTTACATGTATCGGACATAAATAAATAGTATTATTATATCAACACCAATGACATACCAGGTGAGCTTTCGCGCGAAAACTTGATATCTTCACATGTGAAAATATCACCGTTGCTATGGCTACATAATAGATCGCACCTTTCACACCAAAAAACTATTAAAGTGAAATGGTTTGGTAGTTCATTGTTGTTTATATAATAAATAGAACATTACATGGCAACTTGGAGATACAAAATTTCTCTTCTCGTGTTGAAAAAATATTTCACGAGTGAGCGCAGCGAACGAGTGAAGTATTTTGCAACACTCGAAGAGAAATTTCGTATCTCAGCACGGCCATACAATATCCTCTATTTATTCCCCAAATTCAGTGTACCTGATGCTCCTCCAACACATCTGTCATGTAATGAGCTAACTTGCGTGTCACACTGTCAGAAAATTAAGCACAAAATGTTTTACATTTACCAGATGTGGGTTGTTAAATTTACAATACATGCATGCACACTGATTTCTGTTGATAAGTTTTAAGTTGTTCATTACTTTTTGTCAGTGATTCTGCAATGTATTAAACAAATGTACAAAACAGAAGATTTATTAACTATTATTACACTGTAACTAACTCATTAACTTTAATAACTAAATGTTCCAAAAGAACTACAGTCAAACCTGTATATCAAGGCCCTGTATGTAGCAGTCACCATTATAGGGTCACTGGACAACTTCCCAAAATTTTCAGTTGTGTTACATTTACATGTAATGCAAAATTGACCCATACATAACAGTCACCTTGCCATTTCCCAAGGGTGACCATTGTGCACAGGTTTGACTGTATCTTGGGGTTGCAAAAGTGATTATCAGTATCTTAAAAATACTGTAATCTTAAACAAATCTTAATCTTAATCACAAACAACCGCTGAAGTTCTGATTTTCTTAATTCAATGATTAGAATGAGTGTGATTTCAAAAAGAGCCAAATGAAATAAAAGTAGTGCAATCTTTAAGGATCAAACCTATTTCCTCACTGGTGAACAGTCTTTGGCTAATTGGTCAGTTTATTGGAGAAGATTATGAGTGAACACACCTTTCAACAAAAGCATCCAGTTTGCCCAGATCATCTGATAATCCTACAAGTGTATCCAAGGTTCCAACCTGTTACATGTATATGACATAAGGTGTAGTTTTAAAACAGTTGTCCTAAACATTGCTAACTGACATGTACACGTGCTATACTACATTTAAGAGTCATCTTCCAAGGAGAGTTACACTGTAATAGTTAAAAATTAATAAAAAACTTAAGGAGCGAGCATGATTTAAATAAGTTTGGGTTTGGCCCCAAAGGGCACTTTAGATCCAAGCCAAATTGAGCCTCCAATACTATTGCTATACTTAGTTGAACATCCATTTTTTATTTGTTGTTGTCTTTTGTGTTGTTTTTCCTTTTCATCTGGGTCCCATTCAAACCAGCCTCGCTGAACTGGGCACCCCTGACTAAATATTGTTTAAAACAAAATAAATAAATAAATAAATAAATAACTGTCCCATCCTTTTTATGGTGTGTCAGACAAGAGTTGAGACCAGCAATGTTATTATCATCTCTGATCAGACTCAAATCCCTGTGTGTGAAATCCATATTTCACTCTACTTGAATTTTCATAAAAACCCGTGTATCTGTAAAATTAAAGTAAATTTTGAAATTTACATCTCAGGAAAAATATGTTTATTTTGACTTGATAATAGCATCTTAGAACTTCAAAACATTGTCATGCTTTTTAACGTTTTTTTACAATTTCAATGTTTTTAAGGAAATAATCATTATTTTTATAGAAAAACATTTACCCTCAGAAAATTACAACATAATAAAAATGTTTACCTGTACAGCAAATTAACAATGTACATTAGAATGAGTTAATATAATAATTCATTCTAATTATTAATGTACATTGTTAATCATTATGCTTTCCCCTGTGCAAGGCTATCAATACTCACATTAAACTCAGCAAAGATAAACAAATGGCAACTTTCATTTAAATTCAAGTTTTGCTTCAGTAGAAGTAGTACAACGTCCTGTTTATCAAATTTAACCACTTCCTTGTTTTGTTAATATATGTACATCTAGCCTGTGCCAGGCTCTCAGATAGTAGAGAGCGCCTGTTTTTCACATTTCTTCTTACTGAATGACTTTTCACCACTATCTCATAGACTGGAACAGGCTAATGTACATAAGAACATTTTTCAACATTAACCTAATTTATTGGACCACATGTAGAGAGTTTATTTATTCAGACTGATAACATGACACCATCATTCTTCATGACCTGTCCGAAATTGATCGGTTCACCCGTTTAAGTCAACCCATTCGAATGGGTGAGTAATCCGTTCACCTGTTCGTTTTAGCCGTTTGGAATACTTTATAACCCGTTGAGCAGTTCAATGCACCCCTTCGAACAGGTGAGTGGGCCGTTTGGAACCCGTTCTGAAGCTCTGTGTTTCATCCGTTTAACAGAAAGCCATTAGTCTAAGTTTCCCTGTGGAAGGTCACAAGTGAAAAAAAAAAAAAACATACATGTATGTACAATGTACAATGTTTAAGTGGCTTATCCTAAAATTTGAAAAAAAGAGCCAAAACAATAATATTGTCACTTGATACTAATTCCAATCACAAAAAAAAAACTAAATAAAATAATAATAATAATGACAACAATAATCATCATCATCATCATCATCATCATCATCATCATCAAAAAAAAATTCAGTCTATGTGTCATACATGTGTTACACTGGATTTATGATTGTTAATAACAGGGGGTCAAGCCACTTTAAGGTATGCCTTAGATATAAATGGATGCAAATAAATTTGTGTACACCAGTTGGCCTAGGAATTTTGTTGCCAAGCACCTTCACGCCTCTGACATGTTTTTAAACAGCACAGGTCTGTGTCATCAAAATATTGAAAAATATTTTTCTCGGGCCCCTCTCTTTTTTATGTACTACACTGTACTTCTACAAATTTCTCCTCCACCCCTCCCCCCACCAAGGAAAAATTTTAATTTATTGTACCCTACTCCCCTGTCAGGAGGAGGTCCAAAGGGAGAGCATTGATCAAAGGCAAAAGCAACAACAACAACAACAACGTTGATCGGCATTTCTTTTTCAAACATTATTTTATCCTCCCTGATTGAAAAGAGCACTTCGATCTTCCTAAATTAATTGATCTACATTCGAAGAACATGATCTCCTCGTAGGTTACATAAGCTTATATATGTATTTTATCAAGCCAGATTTCACCCAAAATTGTCATCTGAGAATACTCCTTTGTTGAACAACAACATTCGTTCTACAGAAAACAAATACGTCCCATTTTTTACCGATACAATAAGGTCATATGATACCAACCTTTAGTTCTGGGAGGTTAAGTTGAAATACAGGAGAGAGGCCAGTCATTCGGGCTTTAAGACTCAAGTATGTTTGCTGAGGAGTTTTGTCTCCGGGTGCTGAAATGAGCCAGAACTCTGCCATTTTTGTAAAAGTATCCCTGGCACAATCAAGGGAGGAAAAGCTGTAATTTACGAGTACTTTTCGATGAGAATCGCCATCAATTTTCATAAACTGAGATCTGCAGCTATTTTCGTATTTACGCGCATGACTGTCACGTTTTCGTCTTGCTGGCTCGTTTTTGTCGGGGAAGTATCGACAACAAACGAAGAAGATCGATGATGATTCGTGTTTGCCTTTATTTGGTTATGCTGTAGACAGGGAGACTTCCGTTTCATGAGGAAAGTCAAGGGATTTTATTGCCCCATGGCGGCCAAGGGTCTTTCACATTTCTTCCAAAAGGACAAGGTAAAGAACAGTCAATTATTTATTATATATTCGCGTCAAACAACTTCGGAATTCGCATTCGTTTCCGAGTATGTGTGTAGGCCTTGAACCGTTGTATTTTGAGTGACTCACTGTTTCTTGAAATGTGTGAGAAATATTATTAAAGCAGTCATGTTTTTGTTTTCTGTTCTAGACGTTCCGCCCGAAGAGGAAACTGGAGACCGGGACTATGCGTTATGAACTTCACAAACAATCAAAGGTTTACTTCGTTCTGAAAAACGCAAGCAGCCTTGAGTTGTTGTTTATTTTAACATTCGCGCGATTCGAACAGCCAGAAGTCCAATATTAGAGCCAATGTTATTTAAGCTCATTCATACTTTTTCTTTCCGTTTAGGCCTCACTTCATTCCGGCATCAATTTAAAGGAATGTGTAAAATTACCAGCCGATGAAGACCTTAATGACTGGGTGGCTGTACACAGTAAGTTAATAATTACTAAGTGTCTATCAAACAATCCAACACCTTGTGCAAACAATCTTTATTCTGTAAATTGTACAACAGAAGAGGTTCTTACACTGGTTATATTGCTTCAAGCATTTTTTGTATTACTCTATGTTACCATCGATCGTAGGCTTTGGTTTGAGTGCTGGACAATGGTTTCTAAACTACAAACGATGTTATGTGATAAATTCAACACAATGCAACTTATTGAGGTTAATTCGGCGTTGATTGAACAGCGTACAGTGTTATTGTCCTTCAATGTTCTGTGGCTGAAACCACTTAAAATAATAATCAACTATTTCAGACCGCCAAAAATCAAGACATATATAACTTATTATTATTCATTCAAAATATTTCCCCGATTCTGATTGACTAAAAGCACACGTTTAATTCACCATAACCAGTTACTGATGACCAAATTTGGAACAATTTTGACTTTAACGAGGAAATGACGTCAAAAATGCAGCGTTTTCGCAGGTTAAGGCACTGTTAACCGAGAAGACCTGAGGACGAGGGTGAGTTGTTTTGGTTGTGAACTTGAAAAAATGGCGGACATTTCACTCGTTTCAAGAGTAAGAACTAGGCGAAAAAATAGCTAAAAACATGGCAAGAACAGCAAGAAGACAACTCCAAGGGCGACATCTGCTATTTGGAGAATATTTGCGGAGCTGGACAAACCTAAACGTGCACTATCGAAGATGAACTGAACATCGATGGATCGATGGAGGTAAGCATGTTTTAGCTATGTTTTTAAACTAGGAATTATTTTGAATGAATGATAAAAAAGTTATTGACTTCGACTTTCGTATCATATGAAGAATTATGGAGATCTTTGAGGGTGTTATCTGTCGAGGCCTTATAACACCCTCCTCAATCTCCATAATTCTTCATAAGATACTCAGCCTCATTCAGTAACTGTTAATTATCCAAAAATAATAAGTTCCATGGGAAAGTGTTACATGGATCAAATGGTGAATCTGAAGAATTTATCCACTGGAATTTTAATATTCCCAGACTCAAAAGTCAAAAGTTACAACTTCCAACCACTCTGGAGCAAAAGGTCTACTGTTTAGTATCCAGAAACAGTATTTCATTGTCCAGGAAGGAGGGACTAAAGAATTTTTTGAAATACAACCGCTGCCATTTAACCTGTGTGCTAAATATTGTCACATTACTCCTTTATTATGAGATTTACATTGGCTCTGCTTGTAAAGTTCAGAATTGAATTTCAAATCCTGTTGATTGTTTTTAAGATTTTTAAGGACTTACCACCTTCGTACTTACGTTTTTTAATTACTCCTAAGCCTGTATCTAAATATAACTTAAGAAGTTCTAGCAATAGTACCCTACTTAGTTATCCAAATGTTAAGCCCAAGGCAACTCTCGGTGAACGGGCCTTTCTGTTTGCTGGGTATTGTTTGTCACACCTAAGTTATTGACACTTTTAAGAGAAAGTTGAAGACTCACCTTTTTTGAAAGAGCATTTTGTACCACTTAGATTATAAGATTGTATTTTTAGCTTAGACTATGAATTATTTGTAGCTTATAATATTATTTTTAAGATTATGCTAACAGATTTTATCATTTTAACTTTTAGCCATTAGTTTACTGTTTTTTCTATTCTTTATACATGTATATATATTATCATCTTATTTTAAAATTTTTATGATCATAATTATTCATTATTATTATTATTACTATTATTAGTATGATTGTGTTTTTTTTCTCTATGGTGCATTTGAATTATTTTTGATAGATATTTGCACCTATCAAGTTTTGAAATTATTAAACTATTATTATTAACTGTCCACCCCCTGGGGGGGGGGGGTGTACTCTGGAGTAAAAGCAACAGGGATTATTGGAGGATTTTTCAGGTTTGAAACTTTCCATTCCAGGATTATTTGGGGTACGCATCACCTTCATTTAAGTGGGGATTTGTTTGGGTGTTCAAAACAAATTATATGAAGACTGGTGTAGTGCCTTGCTCTTTTTTTTGTCAGCTGTTTTGTGGTTGTTTTAATATTAATTAACACATTCTTCCTGTAGAGTAGCACAGTAAACTAGTCCACGAAGTGTCCTGAGGAGCAATCAAAACTGGAAGTCCCTCATGCCTATGAGTATTTTTGGGTTTCGACTTTTGCACCCTTTCAACACTGTAACTCCTGAGTACCCCCCTGGAATTCAATCAAACAATCCAGAGAAAAAGGATAAGAGGCAATAAATTTTAAGTTTATCTAAGAAATCCTACTATCCTAAAGTTTTTGAAATAAAGTTTGGTATATGTCCAGCAGAAAAAAAAAAAAGAAAAAGAGCAGGGATGGAAAAAGTGAATGGTATCAAGCATCTGCAGTTTGAACAGAAGTGAGGATAGTGCATAACATATAATTATACAGTGTTCTGGGCAGTTTTGGCTTTGTTTGGCCAGATAGTGACTAGATGGTGATCAGAAAATGGCCTTGACTAGCTTTGAACGGCATTTTTCAGCAAAATTTTGAAGAGTAAATGGTTATTATCCAGTCTTGCTTTTCAACTTCCTTTTATTGTTTACCACTGTTTCATAAAATTAATAGTGCTATCTATTCCAGTTGTGGATTTCTTCAATCGCATAAACTTGATCTATGGCGCAATTTCTGAAGTTTGCACTGATGAAAGTTGCCCTACAATGTCAGGCGGAAAAAGGTTTGTAACTTCTGTACATGTTTTAAAGGTGACCTCCTTGGATTTACTAATGGCATCTCCATATAGTTACCGCTAAGTTTAACTGCTATAAGTGTGTTATATATTAATGATTGTTGCTAGTGTGGTATTTGCTGCTTGGCTTTGAGCACCCATTCTTGATCACAGTCAACTATGTGACCAGGTAACGTTACCATTGTAAAAATAAAGGTAAACTCATGGTACGTGCTCAAATACTCCCTGGTGAATTTGTGGAGTTGCAGAAAAATTCTGTGCTCCCCCATGGAAGGGACTAGACATTCCTAGGGGAGGAGGCGATCTCAAAGACCAAACAGTAAAACAAGTAAATCTTAATGAAGCTTAATTTGGGTCAGGAAAATAATGCATTTTCATTGAGATATTATCTGATATTGATTTGGTCTGTAGGTATGAATACCACTGGTGTGATGGAGATAAATATAAGAAGCCAACATCTGTTCCAGCCCAAGAGGTTTGTCCAAGTTCGAGCAGATAAAATTGGAAAATGATTTGCACATAAAGTCATAGAACAAAGGGCCTTGTTGAACCCCTGTTCTCAAACCCATCTATAATTCGTAAAGAAAATACAAAGGAAATTAAAGTCTATAGCCTGCGTAGCAGGCGCTAGGAAATAAATGGGCAGTGTTTGATAATCAGATGAAAAACTGCTCATTTTTACATTCTTAATTTCTCTGTCTAAAATCTTTTTGTTTGAGAAGTAATATCAAGCATTTGACACAATGTTTCATCAGTAGATGAAACAGTACCTCAAAGTTCATCAAGAATACTCCGCTGCACGTCGTACATTTTCAACTCTCTTCTCAGTGTTTCATCTAGTGATGAAACACTGCATCTCATGCTTGATATGTTACTTCAAAAATTTCATTGTCCTGCAAAAGAGACGCTATAATGCATGACATGAAAGAGTTTATTACTGGCGTAAATTCAAATGTAACACTAACTGACTAATAGTATAAAAAGTTACTAATTATATGAAAGAAGATCATCACAGTTATAGATGCAACTTTGCAGTTGCAAAAAGAAAGCCTGAAAAAAATTCAGGCTTGTGCGGGATTCGAACCCTTGACCACTGCGGCCTTCTCCCAGTTGGCTTGTTAGCTCAATTGATAGAGCGCTGCACCGGTATCACAGAGGTCAAGGGTTTGAATCCTGTACAAGCCTGAATTTTTTGCATCTATAACTGTGATGATCTAGACTGCGAGCAGTCTCTCTTTTGCTTGAAAATCTGTAAGCAAGAGTATTTGAGCAGCAAAGTCGTGCAAGTTTTGAGTGCGCAAATATAAGTGAAAAGAGAGACTGCAATGGTTTCATACGGTATTTTGGATGCCTGGTGACATCTTGACAGCTCGTGTCATAAATGTCCATTTTGTAAAATTATTCTCAATGACGTCAGTGTCGAATTTTTCACGGGAAGCGATCAAATAGCAGCTATGTCATGTATGAGATGAACGGTACTGGTAGCCTGTTTCCAAGATTCCAACAAGGATGGGAAAAAATATTCGGATCAGCTGTCCAATTTTCTCGTTTATGGAATGTTGTCTTTTAAAAGCACCCCAGGATTTATCAAGACAACGTGGTTTTTTCTCTCATGAGCGGAAAGAAACCCTTTAAAAAAGCAAATTTTTGCTGTTTCAAGTTGGTGTCAAATAAAGAAACCTGATTGGCTCTTTTGTCTTGGGTATTGAAAAACCCCATCTATTTTAACCACGTTAAATGTCATGGGCAGTTCCTTTCTACTTTTTGATGTAACTGTGAATATCTCCCATGGTAAATTCTTCTCGGGAAAATCCAGTCACACGCGCCACGCCAATTTCCTGTAGTAAAAGGGTCATTTACGACTGACAGTAAAAGTGTCCCATGTAACCGCACCTAATATGCCCTACCTTTATATTTTTATTGATTTTTTTTTTTTTGTGCTGATTGTAGGGAAAAGTGTATATCATTTTGCTATTTTGTTTCCTTTTCTTTTTCAGTATATTTCTCTGCTGATGGACTGGATAGAGAGCCTTATAAATAATGAGGACATATTTCCAATTGACAAAGGTAAACATAACATACTACTTTATATAGTATGCTATCATTAACATTAATAAATGTGTAGTGTAGATCAACCACTGGCCACTGAGCCCACTTTTATAATCATCCAAAGACGAAACCTCCCTGGTACCTGTAATTAGAGAAGCAAGCTCATTAAAAGGGGCATGCAAGGATTAGCACAGTAAGTTCTGTGTGGCCATCATGTGCAGGAGATTCCGAGTTTGATTCCCAGGTGTGACCAGAATCCCTTTTTCTACTTCTTTTCTTTTTGTGTAGCTTTAAGCAGCTTTAAATATCAAAAATAGTAAAGCAGAGCACTGATGGAGAGGTGTTTTTTTGGGGGGGTGGGGGGGGATAAGTGCTCTGTCAGCCTGTGGTTTTGTCGAAGTACTCACTGTTACAGTCAAACAGGCAAAACCATGAACAATTGAAGTGTTTCAGGAATGTTTATTGTGTTCAGACCAATCACAGCAATGGCGAGGACATATAACAGCTAGCCACAAAACTACAAACTAATTGATGTTCTTGTTTGCAGTTATTTTTCTCACGCTTTTTCTCGGCTTTTTCTTGCAACACAATAATACTTCAGAAATATTTCTGGTGTTCACAGTATTGACTGTCAGAGTTACTGATGTTTACCTTGGTAAGAGATGTTTGAACAAGCAACTCCTTAATTTCTTAGTCTGGTTACAAAAAGGGGTTTTTCATCCTTTGTACACTTACTTGGGCAGTCAGAACATGCAAATTTTTATGTGTTAACCTTGGGCCTTACATGGCCAAAATGAAAAATGCCTAATCCTGTTATTACTGTTTTGATACTTGACAGATGTTCCATTTCCTAAAAACTTTCTCCCTACTGCAAAGAAGATCTTAACAAGATTGTTTAGAGTGTTTGTTCATGTTTACATCCATCACTTTGATAAACTGCAGTCTTTAGGAGCAGTAAGTGTTGTGTTTATTGTACATTTGCAAATTCTTTGACAGTATTATTATTATTATGATGTTCATTCCTTGTAGACTCAGGCAGGATGTTCAGCCTGGTTTATAGTCCTTGGTAGTGGGTTACAACAAGTCACCACGGGTCCCAGGTCTCTCTTTTCCTTCTTTTTACAGGGACAGTACTTTCGTTGGTATTTTTGCTGTCCCAACAATGCTGTCTTGTGGATAACTTCCAACCTCACGTTCACACCGATTCACTTCACGTACTCCTTAAAGTTGACTGATATGGCTCCAAGGGCCCCAGTAACAAACACTACAATGACTTTCCACGTGCACCAGACTTTTGCAAATTCATCTTTCAATAGTTGGTATTTCTCTATCTTCTCAAGTTCCTTATCTTTCACTCTTTCATCACCTGGGATGGCAACATCGATTATGACAACCTCTCACTCCATATTAAATTCTTATCAATAAAGACAATTTCTGGTTTTCTGACTCTTATTATTATTATTATTATTATTATCATCATCATCATCATCATCGTCATTATTATTATTATTACTATTGAAGGTGTATTTTTAAGTTTGCATGGTTTTCTTCGTCTTCCAACTGGTTCACCCCGTCTGTCAAGTCCTGCTTTCTTTAGATACAGATGGAATCTTTTTGCTGACTGTTCCAACAAAGGGTCACCAATGATGTTGGTTACAAGCACGACTTCTTTACGGTTCTACAGACACTTCACCTCTGTTTTCAAGTCTTGGTATTTTTCAATTTTTTCTTGTTCTTTGAGTCATACTCAATGGTCAAATAGCCTTGGAGATCTATTAATATCTGTTACTGTGTAACTCTTTTCCTTCCTGTCTACAACTGCAATGTCTTTCTTATACTGTTGGTTCTCAATGCCTGGTCCTGAGTAGTTGTTAGACATGAGGCTTCTTGTTGTTGATTGATGAAGCTCGTTTTTAACATTGTACTATGTATCTGTGTGTTTTAACAGGAAGCACATGTAAACCAGTGCTACAAACATTTTTATTATTTTGTCACTGAACTTAACCTTGTGGAGCGCAAAGAACTTGAGCCTTTGGTAAGTGTTGCTGTAGTGTTATGTGTCAAGTCGCCTTGCACTTATTCTGGCTATGACTGGTCAGCTAAAAAGTCCTTAATGCATTCCAGTCCAATCAAAAATATGCACTGCATTGCTTGCATACTTTATCGCCTTTAATGCACACAGCATACTTTACTGGACTGCCGCAGTCTCTTGATTCCTTCCCAGTTTAGTGGGGTGGCACACTTAACACTTGAGAGATGAGGAGTGACTTTTTTTAGCCATACACCTCAGTAGAGAGCCTCTTCTTGGCAGGCTAGTGTTTTGCTTTCCACATGATAGAAATGCACTATCTTTCAAGAAAGTAAGAGACTGCTTGGTCCTACATGTAGGTCAGAGCCTGTTACCTGTTTCAGCCTTTTAGACTTTGGTGTAGGTACAAAGAGGGGTGGCACTTTTTTTTCCTGTTCTAAGACTTCATTCCACACTCCACTTCTTCAGTTCATGCATGATTTATGCACTTTTTGTAGAAATTCCGAGATATCTCGAAAGTCCTCTTATAGATTTTTGTTAAACTTCGCGCAACAGAATACAAGCACCCAAAGTATAGGTAGCGTCAAGCATTTCTAAAGAAAATGCGGATAAGGGCTGCAATTCGATTTAGAGCTAAAACTATTGTGACGTCATTGTCACGTGATATTTATTCCAACCGCACAAAAAATAATATCAGAATAAAGTTTAGTCTATGTGTAATACATGTGATATAATAATGTTATAACAAAAGAGAAATCAGAGATTAGGTGTACCTACAAAAATGCTGGGTCGAGCCACCTTAAAGCAGCCTTTTTGCTTCAAAGAAAATCTTAGCCACGTCCTCCAAACTACATTTTTTTCTGAGCAGCATTAAAACTGCATTTTTTTGTCATCTTCCTTTACAGAAAGAAATGACTCAAAGGCTGTGTTGCTGACACCAGGGTGGAGTGTTTTAGATTGTAAATAATTTGCATGTTTCTTGCCTCAAGAGTACGGTTATTTCTGTAATTTACAATGTTCAAAATATTTAAATCAAAGATACCAAGCTGTACTCTTGTCAGTTGAATTCTAGAGACTCTTTAATATGCATGCATATTTTCATATGAATTGAACAAATAACGATTTATGTCTTGATGGTTTTATTAATCAAAATAATCACTTGTGTTTATAGAAAAGTGAAGGATTATTAAAAAAGAAAGTTCACCTTAGAGAAATTAAGCCAACAACAAAAAAAATAATATCAGGGGCACCCAACAACTGTTTCGTATCCAGAGTACTTTTAGATCTCTAGCAATCAATTCTAAGCGGCGCTATAAAATTTGTATCTGCTTGGTCATCCTAGCTAGGGGAACTTGAGTCTTTTCGAAATTACAAGGGTCTCAGTATTATTTTCTCGAAAATTTTAAATGCAATTTTAAGTTTTACGAAAGTGAGAACTTTTCTGATTCCTGTCTCCATCCCATTTTCGAATCCGAAAATTTTAGGGTTTTTTTTCTACCAAAAATAGCCCAAGCTGGGGACTGAAATGCAAAAAATTGAACTTTAGAAAATCGTAGGGAATTTATTAGATTAATGCTTCAAAAATTGTACGTGAATGGAATGGTCATCTTGAAATGTTTAGCGTTCCTCAAGCTATAGAAAATTCTAGGGAATTTTTGCTTCTCCGAACAGATATTTTACAGAAAACAGTCGTTGTATGCTCCTTTAATATTTCCATGAAAGTATTAGATAGAGTCTTCAATGAAGTCATTGTTAAAGCACGTCATAACATCACCATTGAATAGAGCGGAGAAGTCGTTACGTCACGTTGCCATAGCAACAAAATTTCTGGATGATAACAAACTGAAAATTCACTTAAAAGTGAATTTGCACTGTTTCAAAGTTCATCGATCTTATTCAGTTTCATTCAATTTGTCAAATTTTTATGGGTTTTAATCTGAAACCACCGTATCTAAGTTCTGAAAAAGAGAAAGAAAATTCTTTGTGATGTGTTTATCTACTCCTTAAAGTGGGCATGTGAAATTAGGAAGTTTCATGTCGCAATCGTGCAACGGTGGCTAAGAAATTTTCAAAAAAGCGTGACGCACGTGCAGAGGTGTTGTTTTGCTAATATAAACCTATTACTTTTTTGCCGTTCTTGTTGCCGTCGATGTCCTCGTTGCTTAAGCTCCCCATTGTTGTGATCCAGAAATTTTGCTACCCTGGTAACACGACGTCACACTTCTCCACTCTATACCTCTCTATAGTCTTATCAGACCAAGAAGATGGTCGTCTTCTAGGTTTACAGTCATCTCATTCTCGCCACGAAAGAAATCGCCATCAAGAGGTCAATTCGCCACCAACGAATAATTGAAATAATTTACTCGTTTACATAGCATTAGTTTACCTGGGATTTTTACTTTCGTCAAGCCCCTTCGAATTAATTTGAAGTCGACCCAAGAATGCAAATCGTTCGATCCTAATTAACGATCCAATTTTTCTCGATCTTTATGCGCTAAATACTGATAAAAGGTTCGGTTAATCTAAAGTTCGACTTAATTACGCGAGATTGATGTGCAAAACTAGCAAAGAAACGTATCGCGACACACCCGCACGTGCCATTAGAATTCCGTTGCGGTCATTACCTACCACACAATCTCATATAAGACTGGCAGGTAAAAAAGTTTCGCAACGGTTCATTTCTTTGAGATATGATTAAGTAACGGTTATGGGAAAATTTCTTTTCACGAAAGTTTTTTTCATTAATGGGTATAACGGAAACTCTTTAAGACAGTAAAGATAAGGTTTATTCTTGGTTGCGATTTTGTTGGTGGTGAGGTGACAGGGTTAGTTTTAATTGGTCGGTCGACTGTCGAAGAGCTGTTGGTCGTCTGTCGGTCGACAGTCTGTGAACTGTCGGTCGAAAGTCTACCGATAGACGGCCGACAGAGTTTGGGGGAAGCTGTTCACGCAGACCGTGGCACCAACATCTCCTGCAAGATCTCGTGTATCTTGTCTTTTTAAAATGTTTCAACAAATTATGACCGTGATTGTAGTTTAATACTCTTTTGCGTATATTAAAATCAGAGTTTAAATGACGTCACTTAAAATCTTTTGGTGGTAGCTCTCGCTTTCGGTTAATCAATCCCCTGAGGTTTTTATCTTCATACGCGCGCTCGAGAATCTCCGAAGATAAAATAAAGGGTCTGTGAACGGCCCATGATGGTGTACTGAAACAAAATATAAATTCTTTCAAGTTTCAAACCTGGCGACCGTTTACGGTCGTTCACGTGTGGACTGGAGGCCCTAAACGCATTTTCGTTGTGTCATAACGGAAAACAGTGAAAAGGGGGACAAGTAGTGGGGAGCGCAGAAATGAAAAATGTGAAGAAAACCTTACGTAATCACTTGCGCTATCAGTAATTCCGTTACCAGTTTTCTCTTTATTTTTTCCACTTATTGATTTTCCTGATCTCCGTGTTTGTTCCGTGCTTGCCTTTCCCGTTCCTCGTTTAAGTCAAATCCATAAACTAAACGGAGTCCTGCATGCCAGCATAAGATAACTGAACGGCCATGCAGTGTTTGTGGGGAAGTGTCACTACAATTACCTGTATTTGCCAGGATTAGGTACCACAGAAAATTTGGATTTGGACGTTCTAAAACTCTTGGCCGCTCTTTGCAATAGGCCACTTTGCACTAAGAGGTCACGTGACCATTGCTTCCTTTAAACGATGAGTTGGAATCTTGCTGATGTTGCTGATGCCAAAAATTGACAGAGCACATAAAAATGATCTTACACTCGAAATTTGAGAGGAAAAGCACTTAAGGGAGATATTTTATGGCACTTTGATTTTTCAACAAAGTAGTATGATTTGTATTGGCCGCCATGTTGGAGGGCATACTCTTGCCCTCCAACATGGCGGCCAAAACTACTTTTTGCTTATATCTTGTTAAACGTTCGATAGTTACACTTAGATGTGCTGTAAACGTTACCAGATGATCCTTTTAACATTTTCCTCGCAGTTAAAGTGCAAAATTTGCGTTCAGAAAGAGGTAATTGATAATTTTAACAATCACATTTTGGTCACGTGACCAGCTACTAGCTTACTCGTTTTAAGAAAATGGCGCGGGTTGAAATACCAAATCACTATTATTTTGTTTAAGATATGACCCACTAATAGTTTTTCGAGGGCAAAAGATAATGTACAAAAAATCGTGATTAACTTATCTCCCTGCAATGTTAACGCTGTGTGTTGAATTCCCATAAGTGCAATACATCATGAGAAATGGTATCGTTCATGTTTTGAAAGCTGTCACCATTGTAACAAGTAAACACTTAAACTTATCAACGATTTTTGTGATCAGTCACTTTTTAACTGCTAAGGTGTCCCCTGATTGAAGGTCGAATCCCGGTTTTGGGACTAAGGAAAAGTGTCCCTCTCTGAATAGAGGTGTCCCTTCAGTAGAACACTGGTAGAAGTAAAATATCCAAAGATTACGTAAAAATTTTTCTGCGACCAAATTTTGTGTCGCCTGAAAAGAGGTGTCCCGTGAAAACGAAGGTGTAACAAAGGAGAGAGTTCACTGTACGTTTACAGAAGAAACTGGCTTAGTCCTCAGAGGACCAAAATTCAATTTAATTTCAAGGACATAAAAAGCAACCCAGTATCAGTCACTAGATGTTGTCAAATATTGCAAACTTTCGTCCGTCTTTTAAATTTCTGGTTTTCAATAGGCCATTTTACAGTTATGGATGGAAGCGAGACTGAGGGTGACCTTGTTTTGATACAAACCCTCTCTGCTTTGTTATGGAATTGTTCTTGAAAAATACTAGTTTTTAATAGCATGAGTTAAGAATTTGTTCATGCTTAGCGTGCGTATATCGAGTTATGGATGCACGCGGGAAGTTTGGAGAGCACGAAAGATGCGTAAGAGTTGCACGAGGCGATAGCCGAGTGCAACTCTAGCTTCTTGAGTGCTCTCCAAACTTCCCAAGTGCATCCATAACTCGATATACGCACAGCTAAAAGCATGAGCAAATTCTTTTATAA